GTCTGCTAGCAGCTATTCGTGTGTCTCCAGTTCGGGAGTTTCGAGTATTCCCTTGGTTGCAGTTTGGGAGTTGGTGAATTCGTGGGTTTGCAGTTCAGGAGATTGGTGCTTGCAGTAGCTGTCGCTGCAGCTGAAAAAGGGGAATATCGCCTAAACGGTTTTTAACCTTGCTTAAAATTGCTTAAAATATGTGGATACTGAAATAATAACACTTAATGATCTGTCTCCTCTCAGAATAAACATTTGACAGAGCATAAATAAAAATAAATTAATTAATAAATATAAGGTTGTGGCTTCTGACATCAAGTGTCTGGATCATTTGGGTCAATACTTTTATTCTATATGTTACATATCCTCTCCAATAAGTGAAATCCTTTTTGTTTTTTTTCTCCATTAAAAATAGTGTCTAACTATTGATAAAAATGTATGTGGAATGTGTTTAAATGCATTTCAGTTCAAAATATGTACGTTGTTGAATGGTTGACATTGTGGATAGAATTTAGCCAGTGCCAAAATAATCACATTTAAAGGGACACTCCAGGCATCCAGACCACTTCTGCCCATTGGAGTGGTCTGTGTGCCAACTTCCACTACCCTTAACCCTGCAAGTGTAATTATTGCAGCTTTCATAGCGTCGCTGGACGTCCTCAAGCTATGTGAGGACCTCCAGCGTTGCTGAAATCCCCATAGGAAAGCATTGAAAGCATTTTTCAATATTTTCCTATGGGGAGGTCTAATGTGTGTGCGCAGCATTGCCGCGTATGCGCATTAGGTCTCCCCCGCCGGTGGACGCGCATGCGCAATAGATCTCCCCCGCCAGATGAGCGTGGGCGGACCCTGAACCAGCGCCGAGGGACATCGGCACTGGATACAGGTGAGTCACTGAGGGGGTTTTAACCCCTTCAGCAACTTGGAATGGGGGGTGGGAGGGAGAGTGGACCTGCAGTGCCATGAAAACGGTTTGTTTTCCTGGCACTGGAGAGTCCCTTTAAGGTCCTTATTCAATATAGCATGTGTGATATTTTAGATCAACCTCACATGATCTGTTATTTTAAAATACTGTGTCTGTTAGTTGATGTGCTAGACCAAAATGTCACCTGAACTGTGGGTGCCACTACGAACTATGGTCACCAAAACAACTTTAGCTTAATTAAGTGTTTTTTGTGTATAGATCATACCCCTGTAGTTTCTCAGCTGAATTACCTGCCATTTAGGAGTTAACTTACTTTTGTTTCTATTTGTGCAGCCCTAGTCACACCTCCCCCGACTGTGGATCACACAAGCTGCGTGCTGTGTGTGTAAAGGGTACCGTGTGTGTGTTTGTACATAGAGTGTGTGTGAGGGGTGCAATGTAAGTAGGGGTGCTGTGTGAGAGAGGTGTAGTGTATGTAGGGGTGCAGTGTGTGTGAGTGTGCAGTGTGTGACTGTGTTGGGTGATAGAGGGTCTATATTGTGTGGAGGCAGATGAAATGAGAGCTGATGGTAAGATGGTAAGATGAGAGCATACACATTTATTATTATATTTTTTTTTTTTTTAAAAACATTCCAGGGAGGGGGCTCATTGCAAGTCATGGTAGTCCAGTGGGAGTGAGTGACTGCAGCCTGCAATCACTGCTCTCGTGAGATCTAGCACTGCACTGTGTTGTAGCATTGCTGTAGTAGCCTGATGCAACGATCATATCTGCCGGCTTGAGGTATGAACATTCAGCCTCCTCTCCCTTCACTCTAGTGTCAGTTGGCTGGTGAGACCATCAGCTTGCGAAGGTATGCATAATGGTTGATGCTTCGATAGTGCCAGCTCTGCAAGGGCCTGCAGGGGATATCCATTGATCTCCACTATTGGCTTCGGCCTATGGATATTGTAGCCCACCAGGGAATTTCCCCAGTTTGCCGATGGGCAGTCGAGGACTATGTGTATCTGTAATTGGAAGTGGTACTTCAAACCATTTTGTCACCCGATGAGTACTATGCATGGCATCTGTTCATCTGTGTGTATATATTCAACTGAAATACATATAAACATATTTTTTCATTATTTAAATTTTAACCCTACATATAATGTATTTATATACTCTCAAAAGTGCTAAATACAGATTATATTTGTTGATTTTGCTTTATTAGATTTGTTTACACTTTCTTATGTATTTTATATAAATTAAAAGCTTTAGACTGTAGCTATACTAGCAAAAGTAACCTTACATATATTTTGCAAATTTAATTCATTTTTTATTGTCTCATTTAGTCAATGCAATTATAATTTACTCAAATAAATATGCAGGTCCTACAAAACAGTTGGTTTATTAGGACTACGTTCTTTCTCCTGATCGCATCTTTCTTGCAATAAAATAACAAATTAGTAACCATCACTTGTATAAATAAAAATACAAAATATATTAAGGAGCATGATAGCTCATAAAACTAGAAATATAAGATAAACTATTACTGTTTTGCAACTTATAAACCCAGCATTTAACTTTTGATAAGCTACTGTGTTTTCTAAAATTCCTAATAGATATTAAAAATAGATAAATCTTAATATATTTCAACTTTCATTTGTGGAAGTGTTTTTCAAATTTTCTTAATAGACATTTCAATTTAATACATTTTCGTTTTGAAGCTGTTTAGCATCTGACACGCTCTCTCGAAAACTATTTTTTTACTGCATGTCTCCCATATCATAACATTTAGAATATTGTCGAAGGCCCAGCACATAAGGAAATGAATAATCTCTCTTTCAAGGGTGATAAAAAAAGACCTTAGCTGAGTTAAAATCAGCCACAGGAGGCTGCTTTCCTGGATCATTTTTCAACTTGCTTGGGGCAAATGAAGATTAAGTAATTCTTAAACCTTCTATCCAGCACAAAGGTGCTATCCATCTCAACTTCAGGTGACTTATAAATGTCGAGTGTTCTTGGCAGCTCATTCTATTAGTGGATAATGTTCTCCTGCTTTTCGCATTTGGACTTCTCAGTGTCGTTGATAATGCCAGACACTAAGTACATTTATATTCTATAAAACATTATTTGTTATGACATATCGCTTCAATGTATTAAAGATTAATTTCCTACTCAGTGTGCAGGTGGAGTGCAACAAATACCAGCTTTACATTTTTTTCTAAAAAAAAAAATCTAAATGTTTCCTAATTAAGTAATTAGGAAACAAAATATAAAAAGTTGTATTGTATACTTATATGCTCTCCTACAACTTAAATGGCTGTTTATGGGGAGGTGGGGAATGACAATAGGGGAGAAAATGTGCCCCTGTACAATGGGAAAAAAATAACCTAGCACAAAACTGTTCACTTTCTAGTAAAACATAGGAAACAACAAATCAGTTACTTTCACATTACTATTACAACACTCCACACTTCAGATACATTCAGACATATTATCACAAAAACTGCAACGGTATGTTCCTTTTTTATGCATTGATTTGCACAGTATAAGGTATACTGCTAGAAACCTGCCTATTTTGTCAACTGTAAACACTAACAGTTTTCTAGTGAATGTATACTAACTGAACGACGTGTCTAATTTGTGAAAACAATAATAATGTTTTTACAAAAATACTGTAATATGACTTTGTTCACACATTTAACTGTGTCTGAAAAATACTTTTAAATAAAAGTATTTTTTTATTGTCATACCCTTTTATTAACTATAATCATCAATATTTAAAATAAGTTACTAAATTATAAAGACAAGAAGGGGTATGACAGGAAGTCCTTCTTTTAAATTTCAGATGTGAGTGGGATCTCCTGTGATTTGGAGTGAATGATAAACTCACAATATACTGTGGATTTTGAGGGTTCTCAAATAAATCAGAGGTTGGGTTCCATGGCTACTAGGGCCAACACTGCCGGAAACATGTGAAACTCAAGTTCTAATATTTTATGTTCACTGCTCATATTAACCACTATACACTACCGTTTACCATATTTTAGTTTGATAAAACACCATCTACATATTGCATAATAATTTAAATTAAATTATGGGTGCCAAAGTCTAAACTGGATGCCTTAATAAAGTTGAAGAAACAACGCTCTTACCAACACATAATTATTTAATCTGGACATGTGAGATCCCATGGGGGAGTTTTTCAGGAATATGCATCTCTTTGCTAATGTTTCCATACCTGCTAAAAAAAAAAAAGAAAAGAAAAATGAGGAGAAAATGCAATTTCTGAAGATCTTTAAATTGTTAATGCTATAGCTTACATGATATTACATAATCACTTTATCAAGGACAGTGGCCACACATATTAGAAAAAGCTAAATGTTTGTGCAACAGTGTTGCTTCCGCTCACCAAAATCCAGAGGATGTGTGTTAAAAATCTTCTTGAAGTCTGCCAATCCTCTAGAGTATGCCACTACATTATACTCCCCTACCACGGTGTAATACACTGCACCCAACTGTGCCATCTCTGAGAATCTTTTCACAAGCTCCAATGGTAGCACAACTGAATTTACAATTAAAAAAAAAAAATAAGATTTCTGCAAACTTTTTCGATAATTATTTTGAACAAATTGTAATCATTATCTTGCTAAACTTTCAATTCCTTAAACTTGTCCATCTTAAAAACTGTTCTAGGTAAAGGTACATTGCAAATAACTTTATTATGAGATATGACTATGGGAGCGTTTGCCCTTTTCACAAGCTGAAGTATGAAAAGTGCAAAAATAGACTATTTGTTAAAATAGATTTTATTTAAATAAATCTTTATTTGACAAAGATTTGGTAATCTTTCTGGTAATTAAGAAATATCACTGATTGTTATCTTTTTTATTCTTGGCAATCAGATATTTTGAGATTAGTCAATTTATATTATTTACTGGTTCCATAATCTATTCGGTTTTAATCTTCTATTAGTCTTCCACAAGCCCTTATAATGGCCTGTCAGGCAGAGCATTTTAGACTGGATAAGAACGCTCTTGGCACAAAAAACACCCACTCTGGATATTTTCCACACTACCTGGGCAGCATGGTCATTCCAGCTCCTCGTTTTTTTTATAAATTCTGGTCCACTTCCAGATGTTTACTCAGAAGTACTCATGAAGCTGCTCAGTGGACCTTTGTAATGGAGAGCTGAAAAATATAAATAAATTCATTACCATGCAATGCTTGAAACCTTAAGAGCTAAATGATAAATATACACATACACACACCAATTCTGATCCTGATTAATATTTGCTTATGAATAATGAACCTTAAATCCAGCTCATAAATGTAAATACATTGATGATGTTATCTTATTCCTTTGAGAAAATGTCCTTCTAGACACCAAAATGGTAGTCAGAGTCCTCCTTGGATCAACTACCAACAGTTAAATTCTTGAATATTCTGGTTTACCGAATGTATTTTTTTTTAAGCAGCCTGTTAATTAAACAAATTTCCCTCTTGAACAATGATAGTATCTCTTTCCAGTAGATAAAGGAATCTATGATTTTACTAATATGAACATGAAACATCTGAAATGGAAATTATTGTTGACAGTCCGATTCGTGACTTGATGTAAAGAGTTGCCTTCACGAACAAGACAGCTCTCAGAAACAGAACAAATGACAGATGTTCTGGACCAATCATGGCTGTAATATAGTCAAGTCATGCCATCAGTCTATTGGAATGGGATTTGTATGGAAGAATGGATACTACTTAAACTAAGTGGCCTGCTGAGAACTTCAATTACATCGGAAGTTTCAAGGATAAAAATATCACTTTATGAAGAGTACATGCGTGGCATTACAAATTAACTTACTAAAGCCTGGATAGTCTATATCCCCTTTAAAAGGAAGTTTAAGAAATATACAACTAATTTATAACGTGAGGATTTAATAAACTATGGAGCAAAATCCGTCTGCATTAGCGTAGCATTTTTTTCTTTTAAATTAAGGTTAAATTAATTGGAAACAAGTGTTCTCTGGTGTCTACTTATTTAGACGTTTTTTAATTTATCCATGCAGTGAATATTCAAGTTGACAAGTCATGTAGCGATTAAAAATTGGTATGCTGCAACAACAGTGTTAGAATTAGGATCAGTGGCTGGTTTAACTCTCACTGACAATGCTAGCTTGGTATATGACTCAGTGTATATCCCCTTCAGTAGGGAATCTTCAGGTTGAATGCACATTGCCAATGAGTACTGACAACGCACATCATGGCAGTAACTAAGCATTCTCCATACTTATGTTTTTCTTATTATCTCTGTAATATTTGCTTCTGTCTATTTACAAGAATGCTCTAAAAATCCAGTTCTAAACAATAACAACCAATATGGACTTGTAGGATGCTGGAAAATAGTGTTCAGACCTGAATGACTAATATTTGCACATGTGTGAAATAACTCAGACATAAAAGATTTTAGATTGTAAGCTTGTTTGTTGGGACCCGTTGACCTACGGTTCCCATATGTTATACATATTTTGTTGGAATTAAATGTTCATCAAAGTTGCAGAATATGTTGGCGCTATATAGATAATTGTAATTGTAATGAATAAAAGGACATTTAACGTATAACTACACCAAGTGTCATGTACAAAATCTTAGAAAAGTAATAGTAAATTGACTCAGGAAGAAGCCTATGAATACTAAATGATATTTAAATGTAGATCCTATTCTCACAATGGGCAGCCATTAATACTGAAATTTACTGTTTAATAAAGGAACAGCTTTGTTCAAACATTGGTAGAATACGTCAATATATACTTTAAATTTCACCTGTACAATGATTATTCTGTTTTTTTTTAATTGGCTCTTTTACTCAATGGCATTGATAAAGTAGAAAGACTATGGCAGTATGACAGTGGTTAGAAAATCTTGAGCATTACTATTTTACAACAATGAAATTCTTGGTGTTTTTTAATTTTTTTACTCATGAAAAGGTGAGTGGGAAAACCAGATCACAAAAATATGCAAAAGTGAACAGAGAATTAATTGAATTAACACAGAGAAGAAGAAATAGAAAAAAAAAGCAAATAAGGAAAAATAAAAAGCAATGCTAATTTTAATATTGCACGCTAGGAGTATGACCAACCACGTTGATTTGATTACTTCCTGCCACAGCTATGTAAGCAAAAAACAACAACAAACCATTGGAAACACATCAAATTAAACACAAAAAAAATTGAAAAAAATACAACAAAAACTTTTCCACTAAAGCCTGGAAAAGTACCTTTGACACTAATATTATTGAGCAAAATCAACAGCACAACACATGCACATTATACCCAAAACTACATATCAGTATTGATTTGGAAAAAAATAAACAGGTTAATGACACATATATCTTTTTTTTTTTATAAAGGGGCAGGGGCTGGCCAAGATGGATTATTTTGTTAACCTTGTTTGCATAATAAAAATCTTGAAATTGTGTGATTAAGAATGACAATAGAAATTAAGCTGGGTTTACATTAATAATGATTTCTACCTTCGAAGGAAAATGGTGTGATATTTGGGGGGATTTTCAAGGCTTTGAAAACATTCACACAAATTCAGAAAAAAGTTAACAATTGGATACTTATGCTGGAATGTGATAGACCATATGATTTGTTGTCAGTATTAAAAGCTTCCTCATTGAAGTGATTGGACAAAAGGTGGCTGCATAAATAACATAATTCAGATTTTAGGGTTAGGATTCGCATCATTGTGGTCATTGTATATTTCCAGATACAGAATGAGAGCAACCTGTAAGTATAGGTCCCATCAGGGCCGGCCCAACACATTTTGCTGCCTGAGTCAAAGGATGAAATGATGCCCCCTTCACCAAAATCATGCCCACCAAACCACGCCTATCCATTATGTTAGGCCCATTATGTTCCATAGCACTGTACAATGGGTGGACTAACAGACATGTAATTTTAACCAGACAAATGGACGCACAGGAACAGAGAGGTTAAGGGCCCTGCTAAATGAGCTTACATGCTAGAGGGAGGGGGGTACAGTGACACAAATGGTATAAGTAGGGATAATGAAATAGGTTGCTAGAAAAGTAATCACTGAGAACTTAGTGGGTTATTTTTGACAGTTGCAGGAGAGAAGTCGTGGGAGAGAGGGTGGTGAAAACCCACTAACAGTTTCAATGATATGCTCTCCTGAAGAAGTGTGTTTTCAAAGATTTTTTGAAGGAGGGAAGACTGGGTGAAAGTCTAACAGAGAAGGGAAGGGAGTTCTACAGAAAAGGTGCAGCCCTGGATAAGTCTTAGAGGCGAGCATCATATGTGGGAGTACAGACAGAAGATAGGCATAGGTCTTTGGCAGAGCGCAGGGGCCTCAACGTGACATATTTGTGTATTAGGGAGGATAGGTAGGTTGAAACAACATTATGTAGGGACTTGTAAGCAAGCACCAGAATCTTAAATTGATCCCTATATCTAACTGGAAGCCAATGTAGGGAATGACAGAGGGGGGAGGTGAGGGAGGTGCGGGCGGACAGAAAAATGAGCCTTGCCACCGCATTCATTATAGATTGCAGCGGTGCAATCTGGGAACACGTAAGGCCACTGAGAAGGCGAGAAAGAACAATGGCATGGACCAGCACCTTAGCTGTGTCTGGTGTTAAATAAGGGCGGATGCGAGCTATGTTTTTAAGATGTAAGCGGCAGGATTTGGTGATCAACTGGACATGAGGGGTGAAGGAGAGGTCTGAGTCAAAGAGAACACCTAGGCAGCGAGCCTGCGAAGTAGAGGAGATGGTGGCGCCATTGACTTGGAGGGAGACAGACACAGGAGTAGCAACACTTGAGGGAGGAAAGACCAGAAGTTCTGTTTTGGACAGGTTGAGTTTAAGGAAGTGAGCAGTCATCCAGCTGGAAATCGCAGTGGGGCAATCAGAGCCACAATTTAAGATGGGTGGAGAGAGATCAGGAGAGAACAGGTAGATTTGTGTGTCATCTGCATATAAATGATAATGAAAGACAAAGGAGCTGATGAGTTTACCAAGGGAGGCAGTATAGATAGAGAATAGTAGGGGACCAAGGACAGAACCTTGTAGAACACCAACAAAGGGGTTGGGGAGAAGAGGCAGAGCCAGAGAAAGAAACACTGAAGAAGCGCTGGGAGAGGTAGAAGGAGCACCAGGAGAGAGCAGTATCACGTAGACTGAGCTTACGGAGAATGAGAAGAAGCTGTTGATGATTAACAGTGTCAAAGGCAGCCAAAAGATCAAGGAGACTAAGGATAGATGCATCACACATACAGACTGCCTAATACACACACACTCACACACTGCCAAACACACACACCATACCTAATACATATGCACACTGCCTAACACACACACACACACACACACTGCCTAGCACACACACACACACTGCCTAACACACACACTCTGCCTAACCCACACACACAAACACTCAGACCCTGCTCTAACACACACACCCTACCTAACACACACAGACACACCCTTCCTAACACAGACACACACCCTGCCCTAACGCACCCACAACCTGCCTAATACCCTAATACATACATACATACCAAACACAACACAAGTAGCCCTCCCTTACATACACAGATGGGAGTAGGAGGAACTCCAAGCAGCCAATTACACACAGCACAGTACCTCTTTCAGGTACAGGGCAGGAGGAGGCAGTTCCTGGATGCTGCACCCTTGCGGTACCTTGCTCGTCAGGAGTCACATACCGGCTGTCCACATCCTGTCTTGATGCTGGGCAGGAAGTAGATGAGCAGTTTAGTTACTGCTTCCGCCCAACAACGTGCTTTGTTTATATCCCCGCTGGCGTGTGTTCACGTGGGGGCGCTCCACACAGTCAGTAGAGCTGTTGAGAGTGCCCCTTCGATCATACATACCAAACACAACACAAGCAGCCCTCCCTTACTTATACAGGTGGGAGTAGGAGGAACTCCAAGCAGCCAATTACACACAGCACAGTACCTCTTTCAGACACATGGCATGGGGTGGCAGTTCCTGGATGCTGCGCCCTCGCGACACCCTGCTCGTCAGGAGTCACATACTGGCTGTCCACATCCTGTCTCGATGCCGGGCAGGAAGTAGATGAGCAGTGTAGTTACTGCTTCCGCCCGGCAGCGTGCTTTATTTCTATCCCCGCCGGCGTGTGTTCGCGTGGGGATTGCTCCTGACAGTCAGTAGAACTGCTGAGCGCGCCCCCTTGATCATACATACCAAACACAACACAAGCAGCCCTCCTTTACATACACAGGTGGGAGTAGGATGAACTCCAAGCAGCCAATTACACACAGCACAGTACCTCTTTCAGGTACAGGGCAGGAGGCGGCAGTTCCTGGATGCTGCGCCCTCGTGGTACCTTGCTCATCAGGAGTCACATACCGGCTGTCCACATCCTCTCTCGATGCCGAGCAGGAAGTAGATGAGCAGTGTAGTTACTGCTTCTGCCCGGCAGCGTGCTTTGTTTCTATCCCCGCCGGCGTGTGTTCACGTGGGGGCACTCCACACAGTCAATAGAGCTGCTGAGAGCGCCCCCTCGATTTAAGCGAAATTCCCATCTCCCGGGGAGACACGCGAGGAGGGGAGGTAAGGAATAATTTTGCTGGCACCTGCCCCGTATGGCAGCGCCCATGTGAGAGTGATAAGCATCATAGGAATATGATTTGACAGGAGCGGCAAAATGCAGCTTCTGTCAAAGTGCCACCTGGAGCCATTGCCCCAACAAGGCCTATGGACGTGCTGGCCCTGGGTCCCATACAGCAATATGCATGTGGTTTCCAAGGACTTTGAGGTTTACTTTTTAAATGATTATATGACAAAGTCCACAATTCAATGTCTGTATCATTCACTGAAGCTACTTATATAATTTATAGAGGAAAATTGTTGACTTTTCTACTAAATTCCATTTTTTACACATAGAAAGAGATACTTTCCTGCAATCCTAAAAGAAATGCAGCACATGGGATCATGATTAAAATGGGAGTTAACTCCCATGATGATAAAAGTATAGAATAAGTCCATGAGAATATACTTCAAAAAATCACTGATTCAACTTTGTGTATATGTGTATGTAACAAATACACAAAAATAAATCATAAGCTCAGACTCCCAATACTCCTGTGTGGCAGCAATTACCATAGTACACATCCTCGACTATATATACAATAAAAAACAAAGAAATGAGTGACTTGCGCACTATCCTAAATCCCTATGCATATTGAAATAACTGGAGGTTTTTAGTAACACTCCAATGACCATTAGCTGTATTGACGTGGTAGGTGGGCTTACACCTAATGATCATATATGTATGTTACTTTAGATTTTATTTTTCATACTATGGTTTATTTACATAAAACTAATAGAATAATTACAATCTCATGTCCAATATAGATACCCATATGTTAATCAGAAGGCAATGCAGTTACAATACCAGGTGTCTGGCAATACTTGTTACCAGTACCTGTGGAAACAGGCCGTATAACTTACACTAGCCCTCAAATATCACAATTTTTCTGCAGAGCTAACAGAAAAAGTAAAAAGACTACTGGCAAAGTAGGGAATCATACGTCTCAAAGTACATGAAAAGAACTTGAAAGGGATTATTTTTAACACATAAAGAATACCTCAAAATGTGTGATAGCACATAAGGCAAGCAAACACCACAAACACTTCCTGTTACTTAAGGATGGATATAAGCAATGTTAACTAACAATTCTTCTCTAAATAATGAAGCTAATTAAATGGCAGATATAGATCATAGTGAAATTAATAAGACAACATATAAACATATACACAATATTTGAAAAGTCCATTTCAACATCATAAAGAAACACATGTATACTCTGCAATGCATCTAAAAAGCATAATGGGTTAAGTGCACACCTGTCACATATTAGCAAAATCAATGTACTTGTCTGTCTGTAACCTTCAACTGTAATTGAAAATCCTAGATTTTCTACTTGACCTCAAGATTTGACCTGCAAGATTAGCAAAATAATTTAAACCAAGTGAATCCAAGGGCAAATTCTTATTTTTGAAAATTACTTATAAAGCATATAATTCATTAATCCAAAATCTGAGACTATGCTAAGATTTATGTTCATAGCTCGAGGAGACTGAATACTGCCATTTCTTTAAAGAACTGTCCGTGTCAACTGATGAACCGGCAATATCTCAGCATGGGTTTTGAATATTTAAGAAAAGTTCAGGTGACAACTGAAGGGTGACGAATAGTGTGTATGAGGGAAGAGATGTCAGGTGACAATAAGCCAGCCACTTCTGGCAGGAAATATTCAATACAAACCAGCAACTGCAAGAAAGATGCAGTTTTACACCTCTGGAAAATACAAAAATAGTGCATTGAGGTTCCATAATGTAACCGGTCATAAAAAAAGTTGCAGAAGGTATGTTAAAATAACGCAGATAATTTATTAATGCATTTTCAAAGATCATTTGGAATGAATGCGAAAATTTTCCTCTGGTGCAAAAAGTGGAAAAATTTTAATTTATTTTTTAATAAAATCCTAAATTTTAACTATGTTTTGTATGGATTTAAGCCACAGTACTAAAATACCTTATACCGAAAAATAAAGTTTTTCCTACTACAATTTTAAGAAATCATGAGAACAAATTCTAGTCAACTAAGGTCATTAATCACAACTGAAACTATTTCATTTATCAACAGGTCAGCAGTTCAGTAGTAAAAGGGTACTATAATTTGATTGGGAAGTAATTAAAAGAATCAATTCTTATGCCGCAAGATATGTCCAGTCATATTAACACATCTCCGAATTTCTTATTCAGTGGACTAGTCAAGATTAAAGGATTTGCTAATGTGGTTGAATTGAGTATAGTTTGAAACTGACTAAGCAGATTTGTGAACAAATTAGTTCATTTAACATTGACAGTGAAGGATTGATTTTGCACGGAACGAGTTACCCAAGGTATCCATCATTTTCCTCTGCTTCTGTGCACCAGACACAGATATACTTCTTGTCCCTTTTGATTGTAATAGGACTTCTTACTGAGCACCTATTTTTTAGTGGCATGATTGCAGGCTAGCGTTCTTTTAATTTAGACATTTTTACCCTCCTAGTTAGACCTTCAAGAACAACCTCTTTAAAATCACTTTGACTATCTTAAAAGCCTCTGGATGGTATAATGATTCATTACATGACTTGCTCAAATCAGCCACATTGCTTTAAATTATAATGCAAAAAAAATGCTAATTACTGTAATGAAAGTTCAACTACACATAACTCAGCTTGATTTGCTGTGAAAATTGGACAGAATATACGATAACCCTGGACTTCAGCCTTGACTATTACAATTCTTGAAAGGCTCTTTTTTTATTATGAGATCATATGATACATTTTGTCTGTTTTAAAGAGTTATGCAAAAATATTAAAGGGGAGGAGTCACCAATGGAATGTGCCTAATGGCTACACTGGTTTCCATGATGATTGCCCCACTTTTTGTATTTTAGACCACTTTTAAGGACAGAAAATTTAGCAAAATACCCTATTGTGTCTGATGTTGTTTATATACTCTATCATTCCTGCTAAGAATTCTTGTATACATTAATCCATTCTCATGATTTGAAAATATTTCAATGACAGTTCTAAAAATGCCAACTAACTAAACAAAGGATCTCATGTATGATACATGCATGATGGTTTTATCAATCAAATTATCAGCGTTGATCCGCAAAGACACCATAGCTTAGCTATCTTACAATCGACCAAATCCTTCAGGGAAATCTTGAAATGAGTAAGAAATTATTAATGATTACTATTTGTAAGCTTCATCATCCCAGTATTCCTTAACACACCTTTTCTCAGTTATCAAGAAAGTATTCACCCTTACTCCCGCTTCTCAAACTTTGTTTAAAATATGTTTAATGTCATCTATTTAATGCTTCATAAACATGCAACATTATTTACCACGGACACTAACCTCTACCAAATAGCAGTGAACAGGTAATCCAGTAGATTCTAATGTTAGTCTTTACCTGCATTTGTTCGTATACCCATCTATAAGTATCATCAGTTGTAGCCTTTAAGTCTTCATATAAAATATATAGGAAAGACATGTGAATGATAATGTACACATCAAATTGTAATAAATTGAAAACCAAATTGCATAATTTAGGACAAAATAGCCAAGCTGTGAAAACAACCGAGCTGAATATTTATATGTGAGTTATTTATTTACATTTCATTTTCAATTAACTAATTTGGTAAAATGGATAAGACCTATAGTCTATCCATGCTGGTGTTGGATCACAGGATCTCTCTAGGCCTTCTTCTGCAGCCAAGTTTACCCTCATCCTTTGTAAGGTGCCCATCTCCAAGCAGCACACTTAAGGGCAGTAAAATGTTGTTCTGGTACATTTCAAGAAAAGCCTATCTTAGGCCTCCTAGGTATCAATCGCTACTTCTCCTGGATTTCCCTAAACTCGTTTTAACATACTTAATCTACACATGGGTTTACATAATTTTTACCTGCAAACCCTTTTAAACCACATATGTTCTCTTAAAGTCCTAAAGTCTCTTTTACAACTACTGTATTTTATGTTATATGAGATAGTGAAAAAAAATAGTAAAAATGTATTTACAAAAAAAAACAACAACAATATATGTCAAATATGATTAGATGAAATGGATACACAATCATTGCCTGTTAAACAAAAGATTACCTCTTATTTCTCAACAAGTTTTTCAGTAGACTGTAAATGGTTCTTATGGCTGATTTGTTGGTCTATAAAAACATTCACCTGTTCAGTGACCAGGTAAACCTCTAAAGCAATATAGACTATAAAAATATAGGTACTGCATAGTGTACTAGCATTGCAGATAGAATGTATTTTGGTTATTTGTACAAGTTGGATACATGAGGGACTCAACTAAATTTGTTTCTTATTTTGTTTTTTTTATGTGGTTTATTTTCAGTTAACAATCTTTCATCCCATTGAGTTTACAATACCAGTAATTGTTAATGAAACATAGTAGCTGGAATCATTTCTTATGCCTCGTTTCCACTGAGCAGTATGGTACTGGTTGGTACGGTTCGGAAGGGTTAGAATGGTCCAGCCTATTCAGATGAGTGTTTCCACTGCAAGTCGGACCGCCAGGGGGCATGCAGGGTTTAGACGAAATGCCTAGCATGTCATTTGTTGTGAGCATTGACGTTTTCCTATCTGCCAATAAATGGATTGTATAGTGTGACGCCAGTAGCTCCGACCTAACCGTACCATACCATTTCCTATGGACCTACATCCAAAGGGGGCCCAGGTTCGGTTTGATTCGGTTATATGGGCCACTTTCATAATGGAAACACTCAAAATAGCATACCAGACAGTACCGAACTGATTAGAGATCTTGGTTCATGCTGATGTTTTGCATCACACAGTTGCTGCTGAATATTTGTTTGCAGTTGTTGTTGTTCAAAAGGTGCTTATTGGATTGAGATATAGTGACTGCAGAAGCAGCTGAAATACACTGAACTCATTTTTTCTTGCAGTACCATCTTTAGATGAAGTCTCTGCGCCATGGTGAGTTATCCTGCTAGATACAGCCATTAGAGGATGTGATATGTATAGTCAGCAACATTACTCAGGAAGGTTGTGGAATTTAAACAATACTCAACTGGTATTAAGGAGCCCAATGCCTGTCCCCACTCCATTACACCACTGGTACCAACATAATTTTTTGTAATTAAACAATGAAGGGTACTACAAACTAAACATATATGGAGAATTTATTTATGGAGAAAGAGTAGAATTTATTCACAGAGGGTATACTACATTAGCAAAATTCAACAAAATGGTAATAATTATTATTATTATTATCTATAAAGCGACAGCAAATTACATACCGGATAATGGACATACAGTGGCAAAATGTTATGCTAAAGAATACTGATACCAAAATAACAATGTTAAAATAACAATGCCTCCCTTTCTCAAGGAAGTTGATATGGGGCAGGATGGATCCATTTTTTTTTTCTTGGTTTCACTAAATGATTATCCTAACATCTGCATTTGCAAAGATTCATCAGACAAGGCAATATTTAAAGTATTCTACTACTAGATTTGGCGTACCTGTGACCACTGTAGCCTCAGTTTCCTGGTGTGTTCAGTAATGGTCTTCCTAATAACAGTGTGGTAATGCAGGGTGTTTTTAGTTGCTGTCATGTTTCTGTCAGCTTACTTTAGTCTCTGGCATTATTCTCTAACATCCCCCATTAGCAATGCATCGTTACCAACATGTCTGCTGCTCACTAGATATTTTTGCTTTTTGTACCACTTTCTGTAGAGTCTAGAAAGTGTTGTCCATGAAAATCCCCAGAGATATTCAACCACCATTTCTGACACCTACAATCATTCCTGGTTCAAAGTCACATTTCCTACCCTTCCTGAATGATTTTAGCAACAACTGAACCTCTTGAGCAGGTCTGCATGCTTTAATGCATGAAGTTGTGGTGGCATGATTGTATGCAAAGATATTTTGCACTAGCATGCATGTGTGCAGGTGTACCTACACATGTGGCCACTGGTGTATGGTTGATACATGGATTACAGTTTTTGATACAAACAGCCCAATTTTGAAGTCTACTTTGATACATGCATCTTAAAAACTGTATATCCTATGAATATTTGTATTCTTATTATGTTATTTGTTACAGCTCTAGTCTCCATCACAATATTTGTCTCCATCACAATATTTGTTTTCATGTTCTTTGTCCTCTATATAGCTATAATCAAACGTTAATTTGTCATGTCTTTATAATCACTGAGCATCCTTGGACAAGATCACAAACTATTCACTTAAATCTGCAAAGTTACAACACCAGCCCAGCTAGGTGTCAACACTTTGTTCTTTCTTCCAACAATTTTATAATTCGCTTAACGATAACAACAAAACATACCCATTTCTTGATTTATGATAGTGTCTATTTACTCTATTCCTGACAATACTCTATCTCACATAATGAATGCAGATATTATCTCTATCTTTCTTTTATCCATTGCAAAACTATATTGTGTATTAAATCTAAGACCAAATATAATTAAACCCTAATATCTTGAAATACACAGTTTGCTTGGCTGATGACATATATTCAAGAAGAATGTTTGATAGTTTCAACAAGTCAATCAGGCTTAAGTGGTTATTTAACTGTGTGCATCATTCAGTAGTTACGAAAAGAACTGGTATGTACACAGAATCTGTCTCTAGGAACAGACAGTGAAAGGATAAAAGTGTGATGGCAACAAAAATGCGTAAGACTTAACTTTATAATAAACATATGACACTATTTAATACCTAATGAAGTGAGGAAATGTTTGTGTGTGATGTGGTTTGTAAGTTCTAGTGTCCAAATGCTGAGGACACTGAGGAGACATGGATAGGCATTGTGGACATGTGTTGAGTGATGCAAATTGCAATGACTAAGGCATGTCATTACTGATTCTCAATAACTGGAGCATGGCTATTGGTGGATAGTCCAGCTAAAATACAGGAAGCAGGAAGAAACCAAAGAGGGAAATGACATGAAATCAGAGGAGGAGCAGAATATGTGATCAAAGTAAAGGTACTTCTAAATTTAAATTTTACACTATTTAGGGAAAGAAACATTTAGTGATAGTAGGTTTACTGTTGGGTGGGGGAGGGGAGAGAGGCCTATGCATTTTTTTTACCTGTACAGTTGCTTTAAAATTAGTTTATAATTTTTTAGGCAGAAAATAACATTTGCAAAACCAAAAACGGGGTGTGGCTGGTTATTATAGAGTATCTAATATCATTGTCCACAACTACACATTTAGTTCATTCTATCAGGTAATCTACCTATAAAATATATTTCTCCAAAATGGAAAGCAGTAAAAGTAAAACCCAAGGAGCCCTCCAAAAGGGAAAAAGTGAGAAAGACTTGGCACACTCCGAGGAAAGATATAACGAAAGTAATGCAGGCAATCAGCAGCAGAGAAGTAAGGAAAAATATATAGAAACAAACAAATTATAAAGGTAATAAATAGCAAAACAATATATATAAAATTGTATATGTGTAACGATCTCTATTAAGGTAATAGAAGCAAAAACAATATATATCAAATTAAATATGTGTAATGAACTCTATTAAGGTAATAGAAGCAGAAACAATATATAGAAAATTATATGTGTTCAATTTAAGCACTTAGCTTAAATTATATGTGTTCAATTTAAGCACTTAGCTGGTCTGAGGGAGCAGCAAAGAAAGAGGAGGAGTTTATAAGAGACACAACCTGTATTGTGATTGGTTGCATTTTTACTATCCAGTTTGTGCACTTTTTTAATATGATTTGTCTCATATTTTTTTCTTTGCTGTTGAGGGAAATAAAGAAAGAGTTCATCATAAGCATAAGAAAGAGTTAAGGAGTTTCCGTGTCTTTAATAATATTGACCTATAAAATAACACAGCTTGTTTAGTCAATAAAAATGCCCTGTTTATCTTTGCTGCTTCCATCTGTAACCAGAAGTGTTATAAGCACTTGAGATTAATAAAAAAAATATGCAGTACAGCTGCCCTGCCCCAAAGTGACACTACGTGACACACAAATACAAATAAATACCAAAAACAGAGCACGCTAGCAACTGCAGTGAATACAGTGTTCTCAATATACAATCTGAAAAGTATAATAAATAGTGCATATATAGTGCAGACTATCTGGAAAATACTTGAAAGAAAATATAAGAGTGTCTGGGATAGAACTCACATATACCAAAGCCCTATTACCCCTACCACTGGATTTGATTAGCTCCACTGGAGAGGGATAATCGCACAGCTTGAATCAAGACAGGTGTCTCCCTTCTATCAGGTATAATACCTACCAGGAACTTCTGGGCAGTACAAGAGGATAACAAGGCAAAGGATCCCAAATTGAATAGTATCTAAGTACAATTTATTAATGACAAAGGTTAAAAACTCTTACTTAAAATAGTGGGTTTGCCGTCAATAAACCAATAACTTGACAAGCAGAAATCAAATGTAAAACGGCAGCAGGTTGCAGTAACTTCCTGGTTTCTGCACTGTTCCGATCATGTGACAACTTGGGACCGCCTCTTGATGACATCATGCATGACGCATTTCGTCCGCCTCCCCGGACTTCTTCTAATGATGTCACAGTGTTCGGCCCTTCCTTTTAAGTGCTTGGTGCCTCCCCCTCCGTTCTCCCATTTGTTGGAGGTGTGGTTTTCTACCCATATTTATTTCTGTTAATCTAGGGGGATTATGCACTTCGTTCATCCTAGTGATATCTTACTTAGGGCTGCTAAACACACCCTCTCATACTGTACATAAAAAAACTAACAATACTGCAGGTTGATAACCACCCAAAAGAGTTATGTTTCTTATTTGAAAGTTTTATAAAGAATTATGTGCAAAGAAAAAAATCCTCACAGTGTTATTTACTAAAGTGACGATTGTCAGGAATTCAAAGTGAATTCAAAGAAATTTCCAGTTTAAAGCCAAAGAAGCTAAAATGGAAAAATAGCTAACAAAAATTTTCCCAGTTCAGCTATTTTGGACTTAAATTGCAAAATCTATTTTGAATTCACTTTGAATTCATGACAATTCTCACTTTACAAAATAGCCCTTTCACTGACTCCTACTGAACCTTCTATATGCATTTTATTTGACCTTTTCCCTAAAATAAATAATTCAGCTTAATAATCCCCATTTTCTATTCTTTGATTTTGTTCTGTATATGAACAAACCCCACCTTCGAGTTTCATTCATAGCTAGTGAAACAGAATTTTATTGACTTTGAAGTCGGCAATATATTAAATAAATAATTGTGACCTGCAGCATATTTTTTCAGTAATATAGTACTGTGAGACAAGTTGTGCTTCATCAAAATACATTGGAGAGATTCATGCAACTCAGCTTAGAATTATCAAAAGACATAACAGTATATTTTTATTCTTTAAACCTTAGCTGATACTAGTCTGTTTCGCCTAGGGGTCTTTTTCAGTGTGTTTACAATTCAAAGCATGTATTTATTGTTTTAGACTTGAAATGCCATAGACTCTTAATATGCATTTTTTTTACCTCAGAGTACCCATTCCACACCAATTTCTTCAAAAAATTTTTTCAATTATTTGCAATAGCATTAAACCAGGTATGAATGTATGATTTTACTTGATTTATTAAACTAATGAAATCATTTTTATTGTAAGTGATTAAATGTATTTTACTTTTCAATGCATAAGAACCGAAAGTGAAAATCATTGTTATAATCTGAATATAACTAGAAAGATACAGTAAGTTCATTAACTTGCCTACACTTGTGCATCATAAAAACCTTATTAAAAATTACTCCCTTGCCTGCTGTATTCGCTTGTTTATGAGGTAATTTCTCCATACAGTAATACGATTTCTCTTTTGCTCTCCAATGCATATTAAGGCCACTAATCTTCTTTTTGAAACTATTGTTTCAGCCACTTGCACAATTTACTCACTTCACAGAAACACTCCGATTAATAATAAAGCTTAGAAATGCAAATAGCAATTTTGCAGGACATCTTTTCAGATTTATTAGAGCACCATGCAGCATTCTGGGAAAGGACAGACAACCTCAGAAAAGCAGTATATCTAAAAGCATGCAATATATTTTTTATTTCCAATCAACAATTACAAGTAAATATTCTGTTTATGAGTAAAATGAAGTCCAAGCCATCTCTTTTTAATGTCAGAAAATGGTGACGAATTTGCTTCATTTACTGGGAGCAAGCAATTAGTATTTTATTCATTTTACAATTCAATAATATGTAGGATTCAAGCAATATCCTCTTCAATGCTTTGTTTATTTATTTATATCTTTATTTGTAGATTTTTAGAATCAATTAACTGAACACTAGATGTATTGAAATATTTATAAGCAGAAGAAATATCTAGTGAGAGAAATGAGTATAAGGGGGGTGCAAATACATATACAATACTTGGCTGTATACTTAGTATAGTGAGTTGAACAGCTATTTTGTATCCAGTAACATTTATTTCATTTTCACCAAATTGGATATCCTGAAATTCATTGAGGGGCTGGAAAGGAGCTATCCTGCTTAGGAATCTGAAAGCCAGAATAAGCTTATTATTCATCTGCCTTCGAAGTCAGAGCCAGCTTTATGTGGCTCTGCATATTGTGAGTGACCCAATACCTTCATAATTGATCATTTTTCCTTGTGTTACAGTATTATACTATGCATATGTTTATGTTTCTATTATAGGAAGATCAGGAGGTGTTCAACTCACTATACTAAGTATACAGCCAAGTATTGTATATTTCTTTGCACCCCCCTTATACTCATTTCTCTCACTTTGTATCTGAGTGCCATTTAGTGATTTTGGGCACTGGGGGTAGTTGCCCATTCTTTGGTATTAAGCGCCAATCCACCATTTCTTTGTTGTGTTTGTATTTTATTGTTGTTTAGAAGAAATATCTAGTTTATTGTTTCCTGCACTAAATTAAGTTAGTCTAATCAAAACTCTACAGTGATTTAAGGAGAAACAATCAGCAAAATTGGTCCCATAATTCCCATATGTTAATGCATTTTATAGATACTGCATTAAAGTAATACACTACAAAAATAATAAACTAATAAGATACTCACTTTCAAAAATCATAGCGCTGTACAGCTTACAACATAAGTCTACAGCTACAGACAGGCCCCTCTCTACCCAGGAAAAGGCTTCTCCAATCAGAATCCTGGCTAATAAACTGCTCAATAAATTAAAAGCAGCCATAGTGCAAATGTTATTGCTTTATATATTTTTATATATGTTGATATTGATTTGTATATATTTATATTGGTTTATATACAGCCGTATTAATTGTTTTGGGTACTGGGCTATGTGCAGTGATCTCACAAGCTGCCCCACATGTGTTTGTTTTTTTATATATAAATTACTCTCAGGACTAAGAATGGTTGCTCGGTATCCTCTATGCCATAAAGTTAGGAATGATGCCAAGTTGTTATGGTGCTTAGAGTGATCCTTTAACGAAAATTATATGCAAGTTCAAAACTCTATAAAACGCAAGAGTAAAATGTAGTAAATACTATGCTGTGCATTTAAGCAGTAATCATTCCCATTGCTACTGGATTCACCTATTATATTTCATTATACAAATATCTCTTCCGAGAGCTGCTTGTCTGAAGGTTTGATGTTCATCCCTAAACTTTTTTGAAAATGTATTTGACAATAAACAATTGTAAATGCACTTGTGCAGCAGGATACTGTTGATGATGCTGAAAATATGAAGGATGTTTTAATGTCATTAATAGCATTTAATATCATATTGTAAAATACTGGTATTTGATGTAGACAAAAGCTCAATCTTTAGGTCTTTGGATTTTAAAGTTCTACGTATCTCTGGAGTACTTCTATTCTAAGAGCAGATATAAAGCTCTGTGAATCCATTGGAATGGCTGCCATTTCTGCATCTTATCTGTCTTATACCAGAATAGAAAGAGTTGTGCACAACTGAGCATAAGAGTGTCAGGTATGAGAAACAGATGCCTCTCAGGTCCTCACTTGCCAGCCGTATTAAATTATTCCCAGCAAAATACTAGTCTCAATGTCAACAGTGATGCTGGCCTTCTTGGCATAGTTGCAACGAAAAAGTAATATCTCAGACCGTCAAAGAAAAGATTGAGACAGGAAAAAGAATATAGACAACGGACAGAGGAAAACTAATCTAATCTAAGGAAAATCTAAATTTGATAATATTCTGGTAAAAATCTAAACTTAAGCTATTCTGATCACAAAGAAGAACATTCATGAGATTAGACAAAACGAAAAGATGCTGGAGGAGTGTTTGAAACCATCTGTCAAGCATGGTGGAGGCTGCATGTAATGATCTGGGGGTTTGTTAGTGGTGGTAACGTGAGAGATTTATACGGGGTAAAAGGAAGAAGGAAGGCTTTCACTCCATTTTGCAGTGCCATTCCATACCTTGTGGATGGTGCTTGATTGGGGCCAATTTTATCCTTTAGCAGGATGATGACCTGAAGCATAGCTCCAAACTATGCAATAACTATAAGAAGAAGCAGTCAGCTGATTTGCAATTATTATTTTACTATATATTCATTTATTTCATGTTTCTAAAATTGTCAATGACTATATTTCCTATTCAAACTCATTTCATATATATTTTCATGGAAAATAAGGAGATTTCTGAGTGAACCCAACATTTTTGAACACTCTTAGTTTGTTCCACATTGTTATTTAAACTTCAATGAATGTATTAATACCTTATTTGTTGAGGAAAGTGATAATAAAGGAATCCATACTTGTAATGTAAGTAATGAATGAGGAAGGGAATCGTTAAAAATATAATTTTTTTGATCAATATGCCCTGTAGCATTACTCTCTATATAAATATAAATCAAAAGAGCGCAACAATATAAAGAAATAAAATTAAATTAAAATAAAACACAAAAAAACGTTATTAATAAAAAGCTGCTAATCACAACAAAGGATATTCCTCAATCCCAATAAAACAGATATTGCAATATTTGGGGAATATTGACTAAGCGCTGACACTTTACTATTGCAAATACTCTCTATATGTCTAATGGTCTCTGATGATTGATTTTAAGAGATAAGGCAAACCTGTCCCTTCATTCGATCAGATTTGTTTTTTTCTTTGTCAATCTGCACAGTAAATTATAAAATTAGAATTACATTACACCACTAGAGGCACTAACCTATGAAATAAAAACATAGAAACATAGAATGTGACGGCACATAAGAACCATTCAGCCCATCTAGTCTGCCCAATTTTTTTTTAAATACTTTAATTAGTCCCTGACCTTATCTTATAGTTAGGATAGCCTTATGCCTATCCCACACATGCTTAAACTCCTTTACTGTGTTAACCTCTACCACTTCAGCTGTAAACCTATTCCATGCATCCACTACCCTCTCAGTAAAGTAATACTTCCCAATATAATTTTTAAACCTTTGCCCCTCTAATTTAAGACTGTGTCCTCTTGTAGTGGTAGTTTTTCTTCTTTTAAATATAGTCTCCTCCTTTACTGTGTTGATTCCCTTTATGTATTTAAATGTTTCTATCATATCCCCCAATCTCGTCTTTCCTCCAAGCTATACATGTTAAGTTCCTTTAACCTTTCCTTCTAAGTTTTATCCGGCAATCCATGAACCAGTTTTGTAGCCCTTATCTGAACTCTCTCTAAAGTGTCAATATCCTTCTAGAGATAAGGTCTCCAGTACTGCTTACAATACTCCTACTGAGGTATCACCCGTGTTCTGTACAATGGCATGAGCACTGCCCTCTTTCTACTGCTACCCCTCACTATACAACCAAGCATTCTGCTAGCATTTTCTGCTGCTCTATTACATTGTCTGCCTACCTTTAAGTCATCAGAAATAATCACCCCTAAATCCCTTTCCTCAAATCTCCTGATGCAGAGTATGCAGACTACAATTCGGCAGAGAATTCACAGGCTAGTTGACCCCTTGAAACTCAATGACAATTGCAGTCTCAGTATTTTGAACACAGATAACTATTAAACTGTTAATAGCTCCTGACTAATTCCTCTTCTGCAACTGTCATTAGTCTAATACTATCCATACCTTTTTGTGTAATTTTACCCCACTCCCTCTAGCATGTAAGCTCATTGAGCAGGGCCCTCAACCCCTCTGTTCCTGTGTGTCCAACTTGTCTGGTTACAACTACATGTCTGTTCGTCCACCCATTGTAAAGCGCTGCGGAATTTGATGGCGCTCTATAAATATCATAATAATAATAATAATAACTGAGTATGAGGTACTCCTGTCCAAATAAAATGACCCAACTCTTGATTATTACGTTATATAAAAGCAAGTTAATTTGACAGTTTTTAAGCTGCTCTTTTATATTTATGTTAAATGCTCTCCATATCATAAAAAAGATTTGATGTTTGTTGTTCACAGAAAACATAAATAAACCTATCGATATTAAAGTGATTTGATTGACTGTTTAGTAAAAGAAGGGTTTTAACAATCTACTGAAAAGCATAAAATTAAAACAAGAATTGTATCACTGTAAACAATGTTGTGTAAGTTCCTATAAATTATTTGCCATTCCCATTAGATGTATGAATAAAATGAGAAACTAGTCTATCTTAACAATATAAAAAATGATGCATAGATTTAATTTAGTAGGAGCAAGTAATTAGAATCTCCTACTCGTCTGCCAAGAAGCCAAATTAATTTTTATCTCAAATAGTTTGGAGATTAGCGGGTGAGTAAATATGCAATCTACTTTTATCCATTGTTTTATTTGTTAATTCAGCAGAATGATAGACTACAGGGCAAATAAGGAAACCTGAAGTTATGTTGTTTTTTTTTTTTTGTTGCTTTTTATTTTTATAAGTCATATTTTGGAATATCCCGACCATGTTCAAAAGAAAAGTTATAGCAGAATGAATAGATTCAGCAATTAAAGGTGTATTAGGATGCAGTGTCACCTTACTATTTCAACAGTTTTATGTACAGTAGTAAATATTGAAATGTTAACTGAGGTCAAGTAAACAGCTAAATTAAAGGGACATACTAAGCACGAAACACCTTAATAAAGTAGTTCTGGTGTATAAATAAGGAACCTGCAGACATACTACTCAATCCACTGACATATAAGAGTTATATTGTGTTGTTAATGCAGCCCTAGACACACATTACCTAGCTGAGACTCACAGAGCCTTTTATACACTTTCTAAAAAAAAAGAGGCTGTTTTTATTAAGCTTCCCTATGCCTATACTATAGATATCAAAATAACTTTAGCTTAATGAAGTCGTTTATGTGTATAGATAATGGCCCTGCAGTCTCACTGCTCATTTCTGTTTCTGTTTATGCCATCCTAGCCACACCTCCCCTGACTGTGACTGACACGGCCTACATGAAAAAAATGGTTTCATTTTTAATGAAATGTTAACTTGCTTTAGAAGTTTTAATCTCCTTCTCTGTAAATTGAACTTTAATGACACACAGGAGGCTCCAACAAGGTCTAACCCATCTGGCTAGCCCTTCTGGTCGGATCATACCTCAAATTGATGGTGTTGGAACACACAGTGAATTGCAGTTTGCTGTGTATGGGGTTGTGGAGAGGCAAACCGGGCAGAGTGTCGATCATAACCCCTACCCACCACCAATAGCACTTTCAATGTGGAGCATCATAACTGGACCATGAGCAATGAAAGTAGATTGCCTGGTCTGATCAATCACATTTTATTATAGATTCATTGCAGAGAATTGAGTAATGAGACTCACTGACCAATCAGCATCTCATGTAGAAATACATTGAATCTCTATGAGAAATGTTCAGTGTCTCCATGCAGATCATGGAGATGCTGAACGTCAGTCAGGAAGCACCTCTAGTGGCTGTTTGAGTGACTGCGACTGGAGGTGTCCCTAGGGAGAAATGTAAACACTGCCTTTTCTTTGAAAAGGCAGTTTTTACATAAAAATGCCAGCACAGACATACTATACATACCAGAACAACTGTAGATGTTCTGGTAACTATAGTGTCCCTTTAAGTCTGGAGTCACATTGTAAGAGATATTGTGTAGGAAGGAAATACGTATATATTGTGTGATAAAATATAATACGTGATTAATAGCAAAAATGCAATTTAGCTAATATGCCATGAGGTGCTAAACTAAAGAAACAAGATGTTTTTCTCAAAGTATGACCCTGTCAGCTAAGAGCCAGACAGTGAGTAAATGCATCTGTGTCAATAAAAAAATAAGAATACAGATAAGACAAGTATGTGTTAATTAAAAGTACGTGTTCAGCAAACACACATATATTGCTATGAGGTATATAAATTAAGTTTAATTATATATAAAAATAGAAATATAGTGTGATATATCCTAAATTAGCAATTTACATATATAGAAACTATATACATATAAAGATGTAATCAATAGAGATAAATTAAGTTAGACGGCTTAAATATCTTGAAATTACCATAACGCTTAGATGAGGAAGGACACCTTTGTTTATTGGTGTGAGACCGAAGTCCACATTGAGAGAAAAGAAGAAATGGTGACCAAAGCATTTTGAAATTAAACATTCCTAAATTGTCCTGAACAAAGTTTAACCCTATATGATAATAGCTGGTAACATTCCTGACGTAGACAACAAATCCACCTGCTGTTTAAGACATATAGAAATATATATAAAAATTACGTCAACAGCCATTAACATAATGACTTGCCCCAAAATGTCATTGGACCAGGTCAGAAGGTTGACAAATAAGGAATGACATATAAACCGTGATATACACACCTAAAAAAAACCACACATAAACGGAGGACACAGAGACACAGAGACACATAGAAGAGAGACACACACAAGGAGAAAGGAGATAGGACACGAGACAAGAGACAGACAGAAGACATATTGAAACAATCTTAAAAATAACATCCAGAACATCTATTGGAAAATATAAGCCAATTATACTAACTATAAAATTACATAACTAAAAGCTAATATTTGTTGGTTAAAAGCTGATACAAAATCCGCCAGATTGGGTTTCATGATAGCTCATGATAAAGATTGATATCTCAAACTGCAGATTGGAATATTACTCAAATCATGAAATAAAAAATAGAATATCAAGAGTTACCCAGGAATATTATCACATAACAATCTAGGAGATATTTACCAGATAAGAATTGTTTTAACTAAACCTGCAAGAGTTTAGTTACTGGATGAACTAATTAATCATAATTAATTACTCTGAAACAGCACTGAACTGGTTAAAATTCTGTGCTAGCTGGTAAAACATTGTCATAGAACTTTGTGGATAGATCTCCTGAGTAAATAACAAACTCTGTCCAGCTAAGTCTAATGAATGGTGTTTACAATAAGCAAACAATCCACATGTATTTGTAAATTGTACTAAGAAGTAAAAAGCTAAGATTGTATTTTAAGATCCTGAAAAATTCTGTCTTTAAATTATATTAATCCATATGCTGATAAACTCATATGGTTCCTTATAATTTAACAAATAGTAACATTCTATTTGCTGATTGTCTCAATCAATAGTGTATGAAGAACATATTCCATATACTCACCCGGTTGATTGAAGTTGTCATGAACTAACAATCCTATCACTCTAAAGAGTTTGAAATTGTTACTGAGGTTGAGATACTGATTTATGCCATATCTTGTTCAATATTTTTGAAAACTATTCACTAATTACCATGTATAATTACACTTATTGTCAAAAAATAAATATTATAATTTGCATAAAAAGTTGTAATATTAATGTATGAAATATTAAATTTGAACAATGTACTCCAGGTCTATAGAGTTAAAATAGTGATTAAACTCTTTGCTTTAAATAATAATTGGTTAATAAGCGCCAATACATTATCAACCTCTGATATTTTAATAAACATTATTCATTTTAATAATTTTTATGAAAATATTATTTTTAATTAATGAAACTTAATTCAAAATAATTAATCCCCATAAATAACCTCACAACATCAACAAATGGAAGGTGAACACATTTGGTTACACTGCCCTCTTATAATACCTTTTTGGAAGTCAATCATCTACACATTTATGATACCAAGCTCACTGACCTGCTACTTCACATTACATCAGAAATGTGCTTTTATTCCATACTTCCACCTTGTTACTCAAATTTAGATCCTCCCTCATGGTTAGACTTCTGATGGTAGCCAAGACCCTAATTCCACTTAAGTGGAAATCTCCCACCTTTTCTACTATATCTGAGTGGATGCATGCTGTAGAACAATCTCGGGTTTCTGAGGAGTTGGTAAATTGTGCCAATAGGAAACACATGAAACACACAAAGATGGATGCCTTGAAATCCCACACCCCCATTCTCTACGAATTTCTCAGAAAGTATCCTTTTAAGCAGCAAACCAAAAATATAGAATACAGAGCATGCAGCTGTAGATCTATAAAACAAAGACTATAATACAGTATGAAACACATTTAAATGTGCTAACAGATTTGCCATAACAGAATAAGTATGTATATATTGCCAAAGGGTGCCTCCCCTTGAAATTATGGGGAGCTCCTCTACTCCTGTGATGAACACCACACCAATATGAAAGTCAAGAAAGGTATATTTCAAACCATGATAAAATGTATTTCAAAAATGAAAAATAAAAATAATAAAATAAAATAAATGCTCCTACATGTTTCGAAACAACAAATAGGACTTCTTCAGGGTCCCAATGTAATGAAAAAAACATAAAACAATAAAATAAAAACAAAAATAGCATGTAGACAATGTTGCTACTTTTTCCTGCCTAGCAATTGTATGTATGCTATTTATTTTTTAGAAATGCCTAGGAATTGTATGTATTCCTAACATTATAGTGTTCCTTTAGCTATGAGGTTTCTACTACTTATGCAGCATCAACCATGCTACAGCTATAAGTTTATAGTCTGTATCATCACTTTGCTGAACTATTAATGCCATTGTTTCCAGTGAATTACATACTGTAACCCTTCTCTTCCATCCCTGTCTGATTGGCCTACCTGGAAGTTACCACCCTTTTCCTTCCTCCCTATCTATCCCTTCCCTTTGTTACTTTTTCTTTATATGGAAAAATGTATATTGAAGCGCTGAAATGCTCTAGAATACTTTTAATTCTTGTTTAACTATACATGATTATCACTGAATTTATTTTTTATGTACTGTATCTCTGCAACTTTAATAAACAAACATGTTAAAAATAATTATGGGTTCAGTAGAAGGCAATAGATGACATAATCACACCAAATGAAAAATTAAGAGCCTTTATTAATTGATTTTCTATGCCAGTGGCCATTGCTCCTCCAGCAACCAAAAAGTGTGCCATGAACACATTGACATCAGGCCTGTACTAGGCTGAATGCAATCTTTAAAATGTGGTGTTTTTTTGTTTTGTTTTGTTTTTTAGTTTTTTAAAAATGTGTTTTTTTTGTTTTTTTTTGTTTTTTTTAAGTGTCAACATTAACTCTCTGGCTATCAATTAAAACTAATACCTTAATGTTGCAGGAGTATACATGTCAACTGAGTAATGTTTTTGAGTAAGTATGATGTTTATACGCTCATGAAGTTAAAGGGTTATTAAAACTCTATTGAGAGACAGACGTTTCCGGCGTAATATCCCCTAGTTGGCACTGTGGGGTAGGTCCCCCCTCTTTGCCCTTTTGGTTTGTTGTGAAATCTGAAAATGAAAAGTTTAAATAACCTAACTTCCAATGCCAGACCAAGCTCCCTGCAATGTTTTTCCGTGACCCCTTGGATTTAACTGTGGCCACGCAATCACATGCTTTTTACATACACGCGCTTCGGGCCAGCGAGGGGAGGGAAGCAAAGGGAAGGAGTGGGAGAGAGGTTTTTAAAAATAAACACCAATGAGCATGGAGGGAGGGAGGATGGAGCACAGAGTGGGAGGGATGGTAGGAGGGGAGAGTTAGCTTCTCATTGCAGGTGCTCTGCTTGCAAGGGGAAGTTTTTAACTTCTGTTGTCAGCATGCAGTGTGTGCTGACAACAGACATACTTTATGGACATCATTGAACTTAGGCTGCCTAAGTCACATGTGCTGGCGGTGCAACTTGCCCCTACCACCATGACGACTTCAAATCATTGACGTGGTCACAGTGGTTGGAGTGACCCTTTATAAACAAACAAAGAAAGTGTTCCTTGGAATATTTTCTCTTATTGTGTGTGCGTTGGTCCAAAAAGGTTAAAAGTTGTGAACATTTGTTCTGTACATTAACAGTGACCTACACAAAAATAAGGTATAACTACAGTTTATACCAGCCATTTCAAGTAAACAAAGCAGCTAGCCCTAACTTTACCATAACTCCTGAAACAGTTTTCATCTCTATTTCACTGATTTACATTGCTGATTTAGTAAATGTCACGGTATACACTTATGGGTGTGTTTCACCATAACACTTTTGTTTTCACTTCCTATTTTGTTTAGACCCTATTGACAGCTTGTATGTGTTAGATTTAGACGTATACACATTGAAAAGATATTCAACATAAAGATTTTCAACATTGGTGGCTGTACTTGTTTAAATTAATCTTATTTTTTCCACTGTATATTGATACACTTTTTTTTGGGTGTAGAACTTCATTCTGTCTTTAGGTATCACTGCTGGTGACTCCTTCTACTACGCATGATAACAACTTTTATAGTTCAAATTTCATAACTGACTTCTTGTAGGTAGGGGACGAGTGAGTGTTTCCTCTGGCAGATTGAGCACAGTAATGGAATTCACTAGCTACTGCCAGATACATGGTGTCACAGTTCTTACAGTATGATTGACTTTTGGAAGCTGTATTCACAAAAGGTTATCAGGTTCCTTACAAATACTTATAAACAGTTTATTTGACCATTTTATATGCATTTGCCACACCTGTTTTATAGAACTTAAAAATATATATTTCTGCTTATATCTTAATCTTTAAATCTTTAAATACCATATAGTCTCTAAAAAATGTTATGCACTTAAAGGGACACTATAGTCACCCAGACCACGTCAGCTCAATGAAGTGGTCTGGGTGCCAGGTCCCTCAGGTTTTAACCATTCACATCTAAACATAGCAGGGTTAATCCAACCTCTAGTGGCTGTCTTCCTGACAGCCGCTAGAGGTGCATCTGCCACCCTGAATGTGAAATTTGCATCCAGCGTGCAGAACATCTATAGGAAAGCATTGAGAAATGCTTTCCTATGTACTGTTTAAATGCGTGCGGCACTTGCCGTGCATGCACATTTTTCTCCACTCGGGAGCTGACACTATAGTGCCCTAATGGTGCCCCCACCCTCAGGGTCCCCCTTCAGCACCAAGGGAGGGGGACCCTGAGGGTGGGGGCACCCTTAGGACACTATAGTGTCAGGAAAACAGGTGTGTTTTCCTGACACTATAGTTATTCTTTAACATTTCTGTATAGAGTGAATAAGTAAATAAAACTTTTAAATGGTGTATATTTATATAGCTGAATTGTTTTATGTATTCATAAACAGCAATCTCTGTATAACACAGATATTAGTATCCTACATTTTTGTGCTATAACGTAGCAGTCCAAATTTTAAATTATTTTTAAACAATTATTTGAAATGCTAAAACCTGATAATGAATTCCTACATTCGCTAATGAGATGTAGAAAGATTTTAATGTGCTATTATATTTTGCATACATATACTTCTGTTTCACTAAATGCATTAGCAATATTTTTGTATGTTCAGAATAGCTGATATTAGTTTAGTGACTTTCTCTTATCTATTGATGGATTAACCAGTGACTCATGTCCAATCAGTAACACTGCACGCCAGAAATCGCTCATTTGCTTACAACGATAGTTGAGGCATCTGGTTTTAGGTTTGTGTCCCGGGATCACCTCTATTTTTTATTATTTTAAGATTGATAAAATAAATACAATGAATTTGATATGGGATAGTGAAGAAAATGCTGTGATATCACTTAAATGTAAACTTACATTTCAAATTGAATACAGAGATTTAAAAAAGTTGAATCTATATATAATAATACAATTCTTGCATTAGAATAAAATACGTGTGAATTTGAAGATTTCGATATATATATATATATATATATATATTATAATATATAATACTAAATGTTACTGACAGAAAATTATATCTAGTAAACCTGAACATTTATGGAATGTAAGTACTGCTATCATCTTGAATTAAATATGCCACAAGCCTTGAGTGAAAAAGAACAGTGGGAAAAAAAAGTATTTTGGACATGTCAATAAATGAATGATAAATTATTAAGGCATGATTGGAAATATTGCCATTTTTCACAGTTGTCAGTTTAAATATAAAACCATCAGCACATTAAACTAGTTAGTGCTTTTTCATAATTGAGACTTTAGCTTCTAGCTGTGCCTCGTGGCTTTCCATTAATCACTAGGACTGAAGTTCAAGCACAATGACAGCTTCGAAGGCATTAAATGGGGAAAGTATTTTTCAGGTAGAGCAACGAAAGGCCTTTTAGTCTCATAATCCTCTGCTAATTGTTTTTCACTCCCTAAACAAAATCTGCTCATGGCATCTCCCATTGACAGAACTAAAATTGTACTGATTGTATTCCATCTATAGCAAGTACACCTTGCTAAAATAATTGAAATGAGCTTAACCCCTTAAGGACGGAGGAAGTTGTACAAGTTCTGAATTAAAACAAAACCTAAAATTTGACTTTATGTCTGTTCAATCATAATTTATCTCTTTGATATTAAGTTCACCCATACTTACTAAATCATTTTTTTCAGAAGAAACAGGGCTTTAATTTCACACCAAATATTTACATATAAAAAATAATTTAAAATTAAGAAATTTTATTTTCTATTTTCTGTGTGACATTTTAATGATGAATGTCATAATACTGTTAGCTTTTACTGCAATAAAATACACATTTTGGTGTTCAGCGATGTGTCACACGTACAATAGTACCCCCCACATATAGGGTTTATGGGGTTTTGGAAAGTTACAGGTTCAAATATAGGGCTTGCCCATTTCAGTTTTTACACACTGAAATTTGTCAGTTTGGTTTTCTAAGCCTATGCATGGGTCTTGGAAAATAATAAGGTCAAATATAGGAATTGCAAATTAAATTCTCTGTACTTTCTGCCTGGGTTGTCAAGCAGGGTCCTCCAATATATAATTAATAAAAACAGATAGTTATGTAACAATAATACATAAATATACATGTAGAATGAAAATTAACAGCATTTAAGCCCTCCTTTTGTTTGATGGCATAGCACACCCTAACATCAGGAAAGGGTTAAAGAAGGTAATAACAGGTGCAAGATGACTATGTAAACATTAGTATACATGTATGCTTATTTAGTCTGATTATTTACAGAAGTGAAAATAATGAATCTGATAACCTTTAACAGATAGACAACCAAACAATATTTTAATGACAATGTATTTCTTAAAACAAACTATGTTTAACTTTGAATCATTTTTTAATACAATTTTTGATATATCTTTAATGAACTTTAAAAGATTAACCCATTTTGTAATTGTATTGTATATATATCCTGCAAGCATCGTAAAATCAGTTTATAAATGGCTATTTTCACATAATTTTTCCTCCTTTTTTTAAGTGTTGTGGATTAGAATTTAATGGATGTGCCAAAACATTCTTTCCTTTTATATAACAAATTATCAAGTGCATTGAGGTTCATTAATTATGTCATCTAATTGGATTCAGGCAGGTGCAAAATACCTCAGATAAAGTGGTCACTGGCAGAAAGGCCTAAGCGCAAGTTTTCTATTAGAAATCAGCATGTCTCCACACTACTGGGATTACTGTGTAGTTATTGATTAATGGCCATAATTTATTACAGTGCAGAGGATCTTGCATTGAGTTAAATGTGTGATTAATCAATTTTCCATCAAATTATGAACAGTTGCCAAAGGAAAATACCAAGTGATTTTTCCCATGGCATATAAATGTAAGGTACAAGTATTTTTTTCTTGAGGAGAACTAATAACTGTCCATCATTTGTTTAATACTCCCCGAGACACTGACAAATGCCATCTCCTTTAAATTATCCTCTGTTGATACAGGAAAAGGCCAGTAAACATTTATTATACCCATTGTCCTTTTAAATACTAAAATCAATATCAAAACAGTTTCTTTTTCAGTGAACTATCTAGTACTTTCTGGCTTCTGAAGTAAAATAGAATATACAGTTGATATTACTGAAGGTAAATAAAATAGTACAATAATGAAAACGCTTTTTTTGTATAGTATAAAATAAAATAGATTTGCATGAATCGTCCACGTCAACAAAGGGAAGAAACACCAAGGATCATACATTCTTTTAAAATTAGTTTAGCATGAATAGTTATTACTGGATTCTCCCATAATAAAGCATGTTTAATATCAAACAAATCTTGCACACGCTGGAAAAATATTTAAATCAGCGCAAGTTTGATTTAACATGCAGATTGGTTGGCTCCCTCAAGCAAAAGTAAAAACAGAAACTTTTACTTGAAATCACTAGCTTAAAAAGAGTGATTATGGGTAATAACTGAGTAATTAAACAGAGAATGAAAATGAAGGCTTAGGTACATACCTAAGACAAATGATGAGGAATAAAAAAAGCCAACTGCTAATAGTGCTAAGTGGTTTAAGACTCCATTAGTGACGTCCTCTACTATTCAAGTAAAGTAATCATCGATACATTCTGAGGGAAGTCTTTGCAACATAAACTATTGATTTATATTGCACTATGTTTGGGAAAACATTTCAAAGTTTTCAATACCAGTGGTAAATATACAAAAATATGTGAAATAAAAAAATCATGATCTAAATCTAACTATGAGATGTGGAGATTATGTAGTAATATATCTAGCTTAGCCTTGCAACTGTTGTTTTGATTAAATCTAGTACACAATGATGGATATGAGAAGGGAAAGGACATTTTGAATGTAAATTACAACCATTTTAAGTAATTAATATTCATGGCTTAATAGAACATGAATCCTGTCTAAGAAACCATAATTTTTACAAATGTTTTAATGAAAATTCTAAGAAATTATTTAAAGTAGGTTTTCTTCAGTTATATAGATAAAGATATTTGATTTTTTTTTCTATTAAAGGAACACGGTGGGCACCACAATAACCATATCATAATGAAGTTGTTATGGTTCCAGGAGGTCCCTGGTATAGCTTATCCTAAAAAGTTCAATGATTCACTGACCTTTTAACCCCAAATTAATCGATATATATATGTGTAAATATTTAATAAACATATAATATATAAATATATAATTTGTTTTACTTCTCCTTTTTTTTCCTCTTTTGGTCACTTCTCATTTGATGTGTGCATACAATTAACATTTAGTGTCTGGCCCTTTGTCATCAATCATCTTTTATTCCAATTAATCATCTTTTTGGAGTGGGAGGGCTAGGTTTTCAGAACTCAGAATCACAAATCAAAATGAACATGCTTGGCCGCTATGCAAGTCATTTGTTTCGGGATTAGTGTTTATGGTGGTTCAGAAGTCTAGATCACCTGCTCTTCTCAAATTCGGAATTGCAGTTCATAATAAAATGTATCTTCAAGTCTAGTTTTTGTCCAATTACTGTAATCATGTACGTGACAATAAAGAAATAGAAGTAGTACAAATATCTATGATAAAAGGTCTATTTCCTGAACAAATACGCAAATTAGTTTCCGATTGTGTCAAAGAGCCAATCAGATCAAATGGAAATAAGCATGATGAATAATTGTGTATAATGATGGCTGTAAACTGGGATTTTGTGTAGTGTGAACCCATTGGAACACAGCTAACTATATTTACAAAGGAAGTTGAGTTTGCATGCATCTCATTGTGAAGGGACTGCAGTAAATGGCCATTCATGCAGAGTGGTGGATTTTTTAAACTTTTAAAGAAGCAAATGAAGAAGTACTGTGGCTTCAGTTTTTACACTGCTTTAAATTCCAAGTGCTCTGTATATAGTTCTGTGCTTCTCCCCTTAAAATTATGCAGACAAAATCTAACAGAATGAAATGTTGCTAGAGGTCGACCAACTCATAAACAGGCAATCCAAGCCTCCCAAAAGCATATATTATGAAGTGACACATTGTTCTAATTGTATAGGACTATATATATGCATTGGTATATATATTTAACACAGTGAGAAATACTGAAATAGTGAAAATGTTTGAAAATGTGAAATATATCCATTATATTGCATTGCATAATGGATATATATTTTAGATCTGTCTATTCATGAATATTGTTACCAGTGCTATAATGGTTTAATTTTTATAATTACTCTAGATTAACCTTTTTTTGAAATAAGGATTTTAATAAGCCTTTGATATCTCTTTATGATATGCCTTTTTGATACAGTGTTTTTAATATGGTTATATTGATAAGTATTTTTTAGGCAAATCTCTTGTGATTGAAACTTTGTCATGCTATTTTTATGGTTGTCTACCTGGGTGTTGGCTTTAGGTGTAATACACACATGGGGTCGGTTAAGTTTGATGTACCAATTCAATGTGTTATATGTTTTATGGTCTTTTTTGCTTGATAAATGTCCACCTCCCCCATTAGTTGCATGGCCACCACCTCCCTACCTCCAATGGGTGGCTAGGGATCCCCAGTCACATAGCCACCCCCATTAAAATTAAATAACCCAACTGTAATTAGAACAGGGTAGACTGGTCTCCATCTTGGGATCCAGAGCTGTCCTGCTACGCTGTCCTTCCCTTCTCCACTGGCACCAGAGACCACCATGATTCTTCAGAGTAAGATGTTGTCCTCATCTCAGTAAACAGGCAGATATCACCTCTTCTGATTACTTCTTCTTATGTGACAAAATCAATTCCTCTGAGTGCTCTTGACAATATATTTATAAAGACAGTTTTGGCTCATAGGCCCAAGTAAGCTTTCAGTCCACAGGTCCACAGACTCTGTCACCATGCCTTCCCAGATAAGAGACAGCACTCCCGTTCAAGAGGACAAGAATATCAAACATACTTTATTCACTACAGGGTCTAGTCTCCAACAATACATCTTTCAGTTTAAAGTGAGGCATACAAACACATATGCAAATATATGCAAATGACTTAGTTTAAAAATTCTAACGGCAATAGGAACAGAGAAGGATTTCAATTGCAGTGACGCTCTCAGAAGATCTTCCTGTTACACCTACCTAACCCCTTCACCATAATAATAGTGAGCCAATAAAAATAATACCTGTCAAATAAATTACAAAAAAATATACTTACCATCAGAAATCTTCTTTCTTATCACTATTGTATTCTTCATCCCCCAAAAGGCAATATTTTAAAATACATAATTCCTGGTGCGACCAATGAAGATAAAAAAAATCCTCATTCATAAAAATGCAAAAAAAAATGCAATGCAATAAAAATAATTGATCTTCACCCCTTAAGGACTTGCTGTAGACTGAGCTCTCATAGCGGAGAAAGTCCTTATGAAGACATTCAAAACATTATGTAAGCTATCAAATCTCACTTCTCTCGAGACTTCTCTGTCAAAGAGCTATGATTGGTTAGTTTACAAGCCAACCAAACAGAGCACTCTGATATTGCATAGGAAATTACCCAACACAAGATATTTGCTTACATATCACGAGAAAGCCTTTATAAGTTATTTCACTACTATGATAGCTCTGTCTATGGCAAGCCCTCGCGGAGCAAATATTGATCCTTTTATTGCAGTTTTATTGCCCCGTATGCAACTGGATGATTTTGCCCCATTCGGTATGAGGCAATTCGGACTTAAGTGAATAACCCCCAGTGTATTTATTTCATAATGTGTCTCCTGCTCCGTTAATGGCCTTCTTGCATCTACAGCAACCTAGTCTAAACAACAGGTAATTGAGCAGTGATACTACAGGGGCATGATCTATACCCCCAAACAGCTTAATTCAATCATGTCTTTATGCAATCTAGTTTATGATTTTCAGGAAGGGATGGTATGAGTTACTTCATGAAAAGGAAAGAGTGGTGAACCTCAGGATTCCTATGTTTACAACGTGACACCTGGGTTTACCACATTATCAGAAGTGGAACTACTGCCGGTGCCCCTGAAAACACTTTGCCAACGGGTGGCTATAAATGCATGGACCACTCGATGGCAAAGTGTTTTCAGGGGCCCAGTCATGCACTGCAGTCCTTTAACAGCAGTACTCCTGTGATCTCCTCAGCACTGAGAGGAAGTGACAATTGTCAGTGAGGAGGGACACAAAGTTGGAGAACCTCTGACTTCCAACAACCTTAACCAACTGACTAAACCCCAGGGAAGCCACCATCCTGCATCCAAAAGGTGTGCATTTTGCATGTGTGTCTATATGTATGTCAGTGTATTTATTTGTCTTGTGTTTCTGCCTGTTTGCCGCCTGTCCTGACTGTTGATTTCGACCACAACTACTCTTCTTGGATTATCCTTGCCTGTACTGCATTTCTGGAAGCACTGTGTCTTATCAGCCCCAGTGCACTGTTTCACAGCCTTGGGGATTTTTGCCTTCAGTCTCCTTGGTTTGTGTCAAATTGCAAAGGGTGCTTTAACTCTGTGTGTTGGACTCCTCCTCAAGGTAAGATTCCTGACAGTGTGTCAGTGTATCTGTATGTGTCGTTATCTGTATGTCTGTGTATGTGTATGTGTGTCAGTGTGTGTCTGTATATTTGTACGTCTGTGTCAGTATGTGTATCTGGATGTGTGTCAGTGTATGTGTATCAGTGCTTTTGTGGCAGTGTATATGTATATGTGTATACTTTCAAACTCTAACACTACACACAAATACACCCCTGCATTCAATCATCAACATTACATACAGACACACCTGTACATCCAGAGGCAAACACTGCACACAAGTAAACCACTGCATTCAAATGGGAACAGTACATAAAAAACATATAACACAATACTACACTCTCTACTTTATTTCCACCACTGCATGTTATGTAAGTTCCTGTTTTCACACTACAAGTTTGTTCAAACATTGTCAGTAAATGGCTGCTGTAAGATGTCTCTATTCACAACAGCCTATACTTATTATTGGCTAGACATGTGTGATTTGTTTTGGTTCAAATTAAAATTTAGATGAATTTTGGCAATTCAGACATTTGGATGCTTCGGCCGAATTTCAGAAGTGCCAAAACAAATTGGAGTTGCTGAATTTCGGAAGTGCCGAACCGAAGTGCCAAAGTGCTTTGGATTTCTGAAAAGTGGCAAAACAGGAGAGGGAGGGAAAATGAAGGGAATGATGACAGGAATCTAATCCTAACCCTAACCCTACCACTAGCCCCAGCCCTAACCCTACCCCCAACCCTAACCCTACTCCTAACCCTAGTATGGTTGGGGTTAGGGATTAGTTTAGGGATAGAGTTAGGGGTAGAGTTAGAGATAGTGTTAGGGTTAGGGCTAATGTTAGAGATAGGGGTAGGGTTAGGGAATTGCAGAAGTCCTGAATTTCGGATGTGCCGAAGTACCGAATTGCCGAAGTCCCAAATTGCCGGATTCCTGCATTTTGGAAGGGCTGAACCGACCCAAATTTTTTGCTCATGCACATCCTTATTAGTGGCTACTAATTATCGTCTGGATTCCAACCATGTTTCTATTTTTTACAATCTGACCAACAACGTCTGCTTACATAGATACTGAGCAGGCACAGATTAGTCACGGCTTACCTTGAGCATAAAACTAATACCTGCATGTTTACTTCCCCTGTGATAGGCAATAACAAGATATAGTAACAGTGTGTACAATTAGGGTTAATAACAAGGTTAAAAAATTTTAGGAAATTCAAAATGAATTCAATATAATTTTACAATTTAGGGATAAAATTGCCAAACTAGTAAAAAATTCTCCAAGTCAGCTGTTCTTATAGTTTAACAATTTTTGCCTTAAATTTGAAATTATTCACTTTGAATTCTCACATTATTAAATACCTTTAAATAATGTTGATGTATTCAATTTAGATTTTGTGCTATGATACATAGCTATGTAACTTCTAAGGTTATTATATACTTCCTCATTTTTTGTGTATTCTCAGTACCAGAGGCCTGGAAGTTATAGGGCTCTGCAATTCCTAGAAATTCACCCTTCTGGACAGAGATCTCACATGTCCCACTTGGAATATGCTGCATCCACTCTCCCAGTTATCACAACTAGGGACTACTATTGCCTTCACATTATACATCCTTTCTAGCACGCTTCGTTTCAACATTGGTGCAAACATTTCCATTTTCTAATTGAATTTCCTTATTTTAAAAGTGATAATAAATCAATTTTGCAATTTACAAGTCTCATTCCTCCTGATTCTGACATTTAGTTACAGACACATATGCTTAATTTGTAGCATCTGGAATGTTTACATATATTATTTAAGTGTGTCACAGAACACTATGCTTGTGTGAACTTACCTTGTGTGAGTCAGCACTGCATATGTTTATTAGGTTCTTATGAACTTAAGATGTAAAGATGTTGAGAATCGTGGAAATTGTAGTCCACAAGCAAGGCCAGTGCAAGGAATTTTGCTGCCCCATTCGCTCCACAGACACACTCGCACACACTGACCCATGCCCAAACAATAATCAAAGTAGACACACACACACATTAACTCAAGCAGACACACACACTAACCCAAGCAGACACACACACACACACACTCAAGCAGACACGCACACTGATCCAGACACACACACACTGATGCAGTCACACACACACTGACACAAGCACACACACTGAGCAAAGCACACACACACACACATCCACTCAAGCAGACACACACACTAACCCAAGCAGACACACACACACACACTGACCCAACCAGACATACACACGCTCAATGACCCAAGCACACACTGACTCAAGCAGACACACAAACTGACTCAAGCAAACACACATTGACTCAAGCAGACACACATTAATCCAAGCAGACACACACACATTGATCCAGACACACATATGTACACACTGAACCATGCCCATACACTGATCAAAGTAAACACACTGACCCAAGGAAACACACACTGACTCAAGCAGACACAGACACTGACTCAGACACACACACACAATGATGCAGACACACACACACTGATCCAAGCACACACACTGAGTAAAGCAGACACACACACACTGACTCAAGCAGACACACACACTGACCCAAGCAAACACACACTGACTCAAGCAGACACATGCACACTAACCCAAGTATACATACACACACACAATAACCCAAGCACACACACTGATCAAAGCAGACACACACATGCACACACTAACTCAAGCAGACACGCACATATTAACTGAAGCAGGCTAACACACTCTTTAAAGCACACATACACACAGATACACACTATTAAGTCCCCCTCTTGCCTTAATTTCACATTGTCTATCCGTGGGTTGCAGGCTTCTGGATTGTGCCTGGCTAACTTGAGTTTCTCTCAGTCCCGCCATCGCTAATATCCCGCCCACTTGACACTGTGTACCGGGAAAGGGGCGGGAGAGATCGCAATATGTGTCCATGGGTGCTGGCAAATTAGGGTGGGGTGGGGTGGGGGGTGGCTCTCTGTTTTTGCGTGTGGAGGTTGATAGCACCAGGCGTTAATCTGCAGCTATATAAGTGTTCCCTAGCGCCAGGTGCCATCAACCAGTGGCACACAATATCCATAATTAGTCGCACATAGAGGGGCGGCCTAAACAGCAGGAAAGCTGCTGCCGGTACCCCCCATAAGCAGTGCCCTAGGCGACCGCCTATTCGGCCTATAGGATGCGCCGGCCTTGTCCACAAGTATCTGCAGCATCAATGATAGACATTCACAAGACCAGTCAAGTCCTCAAGACACATCATCAATAATTTAGGCACTTCCTAGTTCACCTTCAGTTAGATGCTAATAAAATCTAGTATGCATGACTCCCAAGTGTCCTTGTCCCAAGTGACCCTGTGTAGGAGAGATACTCCCTATTGTGGGTCTAAATTTCTCAGTCTATTCTAGGAGCTCAAACATTTTGATGTTTTTGATTTTATAATAGAGCTAACCGAATACCATACTCACAGTGATATGTCTTTAACACCTTAGTGACCAGATCGTTTAAAAAATGTTTTACCGTTCAGTACCAGGGCTGTTTTTACATTTCTGCGGTGTTTGGGTTTAACTGTAATTTGCCTCTTACTCATTTACTTTACCCACACATATTATATACCGTTTGGCTCACCATTAAATGGTCTTTCTAAAGATACTATTATTTTCATCATATCATATAATTTACTATAAAACAAATTCTAAAATATGATGAAAACATTTTAAAAAAACACACTTTTTCTATTTTTGACCCCCAAAATCTGTTACGCATTTACAACCGTCAAAAAACACCCATACTAAATAGTTTCTAAATTTTGTCCTGAGTTTTGAAATACCTAATGTTAACATGTTCTTAGCTTTTTTTGGAAAGTTATAGGGCAAGATGTACAAGTAGCACTTTGGTATTTCCAAACAATTTTTTTGTCAAAATTAATGAAAGTTACATTGTAACACTGATATATTTTAGGAATCTCTGAATATCCCTTCTTATGTATATATATTTTTAAAAGACAACCAAAGGTATTAAACTTGGGGTAATTTGACTCTTTTCATGCAACCATTTTACCAACAATTTATGCTAAATTTAAAAAAAATAAGTAATAGGTGTGTCGGGATCTCTGGGGGCTAAAATACTTTATTTGGAGATGCGCATTCCAGTTTTCCAACTTGAAATTTTCACAGCTGGTCATTATGCACCATGTACTATGTGGGACATTTTTGTAATTTACCTTAGGGTATTTCAAATGGTGGTATTTTAACACTTTCCATGCACTAATTCTTCTACCAGTCAAACTTTTGTGTAGTCATTTTCTGTGTTATTGTTCTCTCACATTGTACTTTAGGCATGGTTTTTCAGTTCCTGTTATGTGTTACTGACAAAAACACACTAATATGTGTTTGGCAACATCTCCTGGGTACAATAGTGCCCTCCATGTACAGGTTTTATGGGTTTTTGCAAATTTACAGGGGTCACATGCAGGACTTTCCCCTTTTCCATGTTTGCACATTGAAATTTGCCAGATTGGTTTGCTGAGCCTATGTTGCTTTTGAGACTGTATGGCAGCCCAGGAATGAAAATTAACCCCATCATGGCATACCATTTGTAAAAGTAGACAACCCACAGTATTCAAACTGGGGTATGTACAGTCTTTTTAGTAGCCACTTAGTCACAAACCCTGGGCAAAATTAGTGTTCATATATTTTTTTTGGCATTTTTCACACATAAACTGCCATTTCATAGATGATATTAGCAGTATAATACATTTTACTGCTCTAAAACACTCATATTTGTGTAGAGTAATGTCTCACGAGTACAACACTACCCCTCAAGTACAGGTTTTATGGTGATTTGGAAAGTTACAGGGTAAATATAACATTTTGCCAAATTCTTTTTGTAAATTGCTATTTTCCAGATTGGCTATGTTGCCTTTGAGACCGTATGGCAGCCCAGGAATGAAAATTAACCCCATCATGGCATACCATTTGTAAAAGTAGACAACCCACAGTATTCAAACTGGGGTATGTACAGTCTTTTTAGTAGCCACTTAGTCAAAAAAACCCTGGGCAAAATTAGTGTTCATATATTTTTTTTTTGCATTTTTCACACATAAACTGCCATTTCATAGATGATATTAGCAGAATAATACATTTAACTGCTCTAAAACACTCACATTTGTGTAGAGTAATGTCTCATGAGTACAACAGTACCCTCAAGTACAGGTTTTATGGTGATTTGGAAAGTTACAGGGTAAATATAACATTTTGCCAAATTCTTTTTGTAAATTGCTATTTTCCAGATTGGCTATGTTGCCTTTGAGACAGTATGGCAGCCCAGAAATGAAAATTAACCCCACTATGCTATACCATTTGAAAAAAGTAGACAACCCAAGGTATTCAAAATGGGGTATGTCCAGTCTTTTGTAGTAGCCACAAACGCTTGCCAAATTTAGCATTCATATTTGTTTTTGCATTTTTTTACACTAAACCTGCACTTTTACTAGTGATTTTAACATTGTGATAAGTTTTACTGTTTTAAACACTCATATTTATGTTCAGCAAAGTCTCCCGACTATAACAATACCCCCCATTTACAGGTTTTATGGGGTTTTGGAAAGTTACAGGGTCAATGTAGGGTTTGCCCTATTCAGTTTGCCAGATTGGTTTGCTGGGTCTTTGTTGCCTTTTGAGACCATATGGCAGACCAGGAATATGAATTAACCCCATCATGAAATAACATTTTCGAATGTAGACAACCCAGGGTATTTAAAATTGGGTATTTCCAGTCTTTTGTAGTAGCCACTTAGTCACAAACGCTGGCCAAAGTTAGTGTTCATATTTGTTAAATAGGGTTAAATGTAGGGCTTACCAATTAAATTCTCTGGATTGTCTGTCTGGGTTGTCAGGCAGGTTCCTCAAATTGTAATTAATAAAATCAAATTCAAATAATTATGTAATTATTAGTTAAATATATATGTAGAATGTGTCTGTGTGTGTATAAAAAAAATAAAAAAAAATATATATATATATAATATTTAATACAAAGTTAAATAACAGTTTGTACACCAGTCAAGCCATAAGACTTGCTTTTCCCACATAAATTACAAATCTGCAGTGATGTTACTACCGCAAAGGAGTCTGGATGGGCATATGCAAATTAGTTTAACAAAGAATCACATTTTTGCCTCATTCCATTTTAAAAATGGATTCCTTTGTGTCTGTGTTTGCTGTATACAACAGCTTTGAAACACAACCTAGGAAAAGATGCAAAGCCAGTAAACCACTCATGGACAGCTGTTTCATTGTTAATGCAAATCATCAGCATGAGGTTGGTTACTGGTTTTCTTATTAAGGCCTGGTAGTGCTTGGGAAGCACAGACTTCAGGTGGAAGGGGTTTTCCCCACCATAACCTATTTGGATTTTGCAACACCCTGATCTATACTTCTACTTACTTCTTCGTAGAATGCAATCAAGTTAGTTTGACATGACCTGTGCTTCATAAAACCATGCTGATTTTTGCTGATAACCACATTCTTTTCGAGGGATTCTTGAGTATTATCCCTTAATAACCTTTCAAATAATTTTCCAGCCAAAAAGGTTAAGCTCACAGGTCTATAATTTCCAGGCAAGGATTTTGAACCCTTTTGGAATATAGGAGCCACATCTGCCTTCCTCCCAACCTCTGGAACACTTCCTGAAAGAAAATAATTTTGAAAGATTAAAAACAGAGGTTCACTGATTTCTACACTTAGTTCCTTAAGAACTTGTGGATGAATACCATCAGGCCCTGGAGCTTTGTTTATATTAACTTTCTTTAGTTGCTGCAGTACCTTGTCTTGAGTTAACCAATTACAATTATTCTGCAAGTTTTTAGTAGCAATCATTTGCACATCTGTTGCCATGGGTTCTTCCTTAATATATACGGAGGAGAAATAGTTATTTAAAATTCCTGCCTTTTCCTGGTCTTCATTAACTAACACCCCCGTTTCAGTTTTTAGTGTACCTACACTTTCATTTTTGTTTTTTTAGAATTTATGTACTTAAAAAATGCTTTGGGGTTGGTTTTGCTCTCTTTAGCTATAATTTTTTCATTTTGAAGTTTAGCAAATCTAATTGCCTTTTTGCACGCATTATTTGCTTCCTTATATCTTTTATAAGATGCATCTGATTTGTCAGATTTAAATGCTTTAAATGCCCTTTTCTTATTTTTAATCTCTTGTTTTACTTCTCTACTAAGCCACATTGGTTTTAATTTGTTTCTTTTATATTTATTTCCCAATGGTACATACTGAGAAATGTACCTTTCTAATATTTGTTGGAAGATGATCCATTTATCCTCAGTGTTCTTTTCACTAAATAGTTTATGCCAGTCAATATATTGTAAAGCTGCCCTTAACTTATTGAAATTGGCCTTTTTAAAATTATATGTTTTAGTATACCCCATGTGCTTTTGTTTTTTTGAGTTTACTTCAAAGGACACTATATTGTGATCACTATCTCCCAAGTGCTCACCTACTTGAATGTTGGTCAAAAGATCAACATTGTTTGTTAGAACCAGGCCCAGGCAAGCATCCTTTCTAGTTGGTGCTTGTAAAAGTTGTGACATGAAGGTGTCATTTAACAAGTTCAAAAACCTAATTCTGATTGCTGAACTTCAAGTCCCTCGGTCCCAGTTTATGTCCGGGTAATTAAAATCTCCAATAATTAACGTGTTACACAGATTTGCAGCTTTCTCAGTTTGCTCAAACAGCTGTTGTTCCTCATCAATATTAACATTTGGTGGTTTATAGCATGTCCCAACCAATAGTTGATTTCCCTTCTTTTGCTCCAGGCAGATATTTACCCATAAAGCTTCCACATTTTCCTCATCACATTCCAAGATTTGGCTTTCGCTCATAGTTGACATACAAACATACCCCACCACCTTTCCTGTTTTTTTCTATCCTTCCTAAATAGTGTGTACCCATTTAGGTTAACTGCCCAGTCATGTCTCATACCACCATGTTTCAGTTATGCCTCTTATGTCATATTGTTTAGTGTATGCTAGTGCCTCTAGTTCCCCCATTTTGTTATTTAGGCTCCTTGCATTAGTAAGCATACATTTAATATTATCATGAGTCACTTGTAGTTTTTGTGAATTGTTATCAACATTACATATTCTGAGCTTGCCCCTCCACCCATCTCCACCCCCCTTATACTGAGCTAAAGTCCATCTCCTTTCTGTCCTATTTTGTATATTGCTATTACCCTCCCCCCTAATACTAGTTTATAATCTCCTCCAACCTTCTAGCCATCCTTTCCCCCAGACCCTCTCCAGTTTAGGTGCAACCCATCACTGCTATAAAAGTTGTACCCAAGCGCAAAGTCAGCCCAGTGCTCTAAAAACCCCAAACCCTCCTTTGTGCAGCCTGTTCTCTTCCCTGCCAACTCTCTTCCCTTTTATCAAGGAAATTGGCATGGAACATTAAAAGGTATGCATTTTGGAATAGAGTCCATAAGAACAAATTGCTATAGCAGCATAGACCATAGATTCTTAAGGGGTTGAGGATATCATGCAGGTACAAATTAGTAACTTACTACTTACACAATGTCAAACATATAAATATAATTTTAAAAAATTCCCTTTTCAGCATCAATTCTTATAATTACATTTTTCCTTTTTTTAATTTATAGGTTACTTAAATGTGCTAAGCAAATATTTTTGTAATTTTTTTAATTTTCGTATGAACCAAGATATATTATTTTAAACTACAAAATGCATATTTGTTGGGGCTGTCATTTATCCGCACTGGTTGGAATACAAAGGGCTAGATTTGCCATATATAAATTAACTGTAAATAAATAATTATTGCTATTTTTAAGCCCTCACACGGTTTTAAGAAATGTTATATTTTATTAGACATTTTCAATGTTCACTTCTTCCTCAATACAGACATATGAGCTCATATACTCCTCTAGAATATAAGTGTGCAGATATTATGTGTGTGTATATATTATTATTACCATTTATTATAAAAGTGCAACATTAAATAGTGATGCTTAACCAAAACTGAGTGTAAATGTTTTTACTTTCATGTATTTTGCAGAATGATATTTAATCCATATCATTGTTACCTCACCCTCATGTATAATCTATGAATGATTACCAGCCTGTAGAGGAATACATGTCTCTGCCAGAAGCCTCTAGTCACTGATTTAATGCCTGCAAATATGCTGAAAATGTTAGCTCTCTCCCTGCTTCCAAACAGTAAAGGAAGTTTCAGTGAGTCCTATCATTCATACAATCAGGGAGGGTGGAAGAGGGAATGAACTCTACCATTTCACTATTAGCATTACATTAGCATTCCAGCGATTGATAAAGATTGATATAGCAGTTTAAATGCCTTTATTTTAGAAATATATGATTTAACTATACTTTTTATATGTGTTATATTTGCATGTGAGAAAAATTTAATTTTTACTTTTACACTAACCTTTCAGACCCTTTGTGAAATATTGCAAGATAAAGGACACTGTACACTGTCTTTCTTGTTTTTTGAATAAGGGAAAAATAAAAATTGTGTAAATTTACATAATTTAACCCCTTAAGGACCAAACTTCTGGAATAAAAGAGAATCATGACATGTCACACATGTCATGTGTCCCTAAGGGGTTAAGTTTTGAAGTTTGTGTAAGAATATGACTAAATCCATAGAGAGAAAAAAAACAAATATCATACTACTAGATCGTATAGAGCAATAAAAAAAGCTAGTGACAGCTTATTGCAAAGAAAAATACTGATAGACATAAGGACAGATAGAAAGGTACTTTTAAATAATTAATAACAGTACACATGTATTTGTAGTTGGGGTGAATGTAATAGAGTGTGTACTAGTATACATAAAATAACACGCATGATCTCCAAAATGCAGCTGTAATTTAAGAATTGTGCTAATTTTTATTTAAATCAGGGAATCTGAACACTATACAAATATCTGCATGATGCATGCTTTTGCTTTACCAGATTCATTAGAGTATCTGATTTTTATAGGTTTTTTTTTGTCTCATCCATCAAGGTCATAATAAATTTCACTGATTGTTCTTTTCCTGCATTTTTTCTGATTAATGCATCTATTTATAGCATCAAAAGTACATTTATCTAGAAATGACTGAAAAGGAAGAGTGAAAAATATTTTATCATAGACTAAGATTAATAGAAAAAGTACAAGGCACATTAATCAGAATGTGTTTATCCGCAAATTCAAGATTAGATCTTAAATAATGCTGTAGATAAATCCCAAGCAAAGCCAATCAAAATGTAAAAATATTATTGCCTTGTGACAAAAGAAAAATGTTGCGCAGATAAGTGAAAATGAAAATATATTTCCCAGTGCATTTCATGGTCATTTCAGGCCTATGTTGGTAAATATTCAAGCATTTAATTAATTATTTGCCCAGATACATTTTAGGCGATGTTTAAATAGTATCGAATAGAGCCGAATGAAAATGCCACACTGGAAACTAATGTTTAAAATTTGATCCCACTTTTCTATTGGAGCAATTTCTATAAACCTCCCCAATCTCTTCATAGCACAAAACATGGGTGTCCCTCAACATTGGTTAAATCATTCAGGTTAAAACTAAGCTATAAACTCTATTAAAAAAAAAAAAAAAAGACTGATGTGACATTGGCTGGGATGTGGTTGAACTTTTGCAAACTTAATTTTTGTAACGATTTGCTAATCTAGAAATGTCTTTTAAACAAATTTCCTCACATTTGTTAGCTATTCTGTTTACATCGGGTCATTACGTGAGATGAAGTGTCATTTAAATAAGCAGTATGTTTTGTATGCTACAATCTTTGTAGTTTTTGCCAATATATATGGCACTGACAGTACTGGGTGAGATAAACTAATAAAAACGAAGCAGCCTTCATTAGAAAAGACAAACAGGCAAACAAATATAGGTTTTATTTACTAAAATTAGAATTTAAAGTGAATTGAAAGTGAATAGTTGAAAATATTTAGAATTGAAAAATTAATTTCAGCTATGCTTTCAGTTCAGCTGCTTTGGCCTACAATTTGAAATTCACTTTGAATGAGTTAGTATATAGACATTTCTTCCTGACTGCCTGCAGCTTGGTATTGAACTGAATGATACAGTTTCATTATAGATTATAAATGAGCAGACAAAAGTAGCCACATTGGCCAGTCATTACACCCTAAAGATGGTGATTCCCAGCAAAACATAGCCCAGAGCATTATATGGCATTCTTGCCATAGTGCATCCTGCTGCCATCTTTTCCCCAGGTAAACAATGTACATGCAACTGGCCATCCACTTGATGTAAAAGAAAGGTTGATTCATTATATCAGTCAACTTTCTTCAGTTGCTCTACGGTCCAGTTCGGATGCTCACATCCTCACTGAAGGCACTTTCGGCAGTTGATAGCAGGGCCAGATTAACAGCCCAGTGGGCCTGGTGCTGACAATTATGATGGGCCTACTTACAGAATCGTATCGACCAAAAACACTAAAACACTCTTGTATCTGATGGAGATGTTGCTGGAGTGAAAGAAAACAGCAGCTAGAAGAAAACACATACCCTATGCTAATCTTTCTCTAATTTATGTTTTCGTCTTTCAAGTAAATT